ATGGCCTACCTGCAGGGGTGACGTGACGTCAGCGTGGCCAGGTAGCCTGCCTATAATGTTGCTAGCAAATCTCTAAGCGTACTACACAAGTAATATTGTTGACAGTTGGACGTTAACAATTCTGGAATATTTTAAGGTTGGTTAATAATAATATAGAAACTATAATTGTGTGCTGTTATAGCACAGTTGTACATGTTTATAATCTAACTTACCAAGTTTCTTATTTAACAGATAAATCTTTATATATTTTTTCATAGCCAATTGTAAGTTGATCTCTGTTTATAAGTTCACAATATCTCATGTATCATTTACATTCTTAACTTTTATCCTCACATTTTGTAATCTTTTCACTTACTTCATTCATCAATAAATATATGAAAACATATTTATGTTTTATTATCTTTATCTACAGGAAACCATAGGATTTTTGTGAAGGATTGTAAACACGTCATAAACAGGATATGTACACGGAGACGTGTACCGTAAGTCTCTCAGCATGTATATACTGAGAGTCTAATCATAATTTTAGGTATTAAAATACAGTGGACCCCCGCATAACGATATTATTTCAATCCAGAAGTCTGTTTAGGTGCCGTTATAGACCGAATTTGTTCCCATAAGAAATATTGTGAATTAGATTAGTCCATTTCAGACCCCTAAAAATACACCTACAAAAGTACTTACAAAAATACACTTACATAATTGGTCGAGTTGGGAGCTGATCGTTATCCGGGGGTCCACTGTATTATTGTCTGGTGGTTATAATGTTAGATCCAGCCTTAAGTAAGTTTATATGGGTACAGGTACACATAAATACATAATCATACATGGCAGTGTATGTGTAGATTACCCACCAGGATAACCCAAAAATGTCAAAGTGACTCGTTTCCATTGGGTTTTTTAACCCTTAAACTGTCCAAACGTAGATCTACGTTTTTTCAACATTTGAAAGTATGTAAAAAAAGTAGATCTTCTTTTCTTTTTTTTACATTTGAAAAAGTGTAAAAAAAACTTTGATTTACGTTATTTTTTTTTTTTTGTTATACAGTGGACCCCGCATAACGATCACCTCCGAATGCGACCAATTATGTAAGTGTATTTATGTAAGTGCGTTTGTACGTGTATGTTTGGGGGTCTGAAAGGAATAATCTACTTCACAATATTTCTTATGGGAATAAATTCGGTCAGTACTGGCACCTGAACATACTTATGGAGTGAAAAAATATCGTTAACCGGGGGTCCACTGTAGTATTTGAAAATATGTTAAAAAACATAGATCTACTTTTGGCGCACTACGCATGTAAACGTAGATCTGCCTGGACAGTTTAACGGTTAATGAGCCTAGTGTAGTTGATAGACTTTAAACCCCATTAATCAACCAACCAGCCATCAGACGCAAGTGCAATATCTGGGAATCTTTGTTTTAAAGATATTTTTCCCAACCAGCAGTGAATTCTGCATTGCACTGAAAAGGCCACTGACTTGTAAGATAACTTCAGATTAGTTATTTAGGTGTTACACTTGCTAGTTCATTTATCTGTTGGTACTGAACAAGGACCACAATGGTAATACAAGGACCACAATGGTAATACAAGGACCACAATGGTAATACAAGGACCACAATGGTAATACAAGGACCACAATGGTAATACAAGGACCACAATGGTAATACAAGGACAACTATGGTAATACAAGGATGACAATGGTAATACAAGGACATCTATGGTAATACAAGGATGACTATGGTAATACAAGGACCACAGTGGTAATACAAGGACAACTATGGTAATACAAGGATGACTATGGTAATACAAGGACGACTATGGTAATGCAAGGACGACTATGGTAATACAAGGATGACTATGGTAATACAAGGATGACTGTGGTAATACAAGGACGACTATGATAATACAAGGACCACAATGGTAATACAAGGACGACTATGGTAATACAAGGATGACTATGGTAATACAAGGACGACTATGGTAATACAAGGATGACTATGGTAATACAAGGACCACAATGGTAATACAAGGACGACTATGGTAATACAAGGATGACTATGGTAATACAAGGACAACTATGGTAATACAAGGACGACTATGGTAATACAAGGACCACAATGGTAATACAAGGACCACAATGGTAATAAAAGGACGACTATGGTAATACAAGGACAACTATTGTAATACAAGGATGACTATGGTAATACAAGGACCACAATGGTAATACAAGGATGACTATGGTAATACAAGGATGACTATGGTAATACAAGGACGACTATGGTAATACAAGGATGACTAGGGTAATACAAGGACGACTATGGTAATACAAGGATGACTATGGTAATACAAGGACGACTATGGTAATACAAGGATGACTGTGGTAATACAAGGACCACAATGGTAATACAAGGATGACTGTGGTAATACAAAGATCACAATGGTAATACAAAGGACCACAATGGTAATACAAGGATACTATGGTAATACAAGGACCACAATGTTAATACAAGGACAACTATGGTAATACAAGGACCACAATGGTAATACAAGGACGACTATGGTAATACAAGGACCACAATGGTAATACAAAGGACCACAATGGTAATACAAGGATACTATGGTAATACAAGGACCACAATGTTAATACAAGGATGACTATGGTAATACAAGGACCACAATGGTAATACAAGGATGACTATGGTAATACAAGGACGTCTATGGTAACACAAGGACCACAATGGTAATACAAGGATGACTATGGTAATACAAGGACCACAATGGTAATACAATGATGACTATGGTAATACAAAGATCACAATGGTAATACATGTACTAAAACCACAATGGTAATACAAGAACCACAATGGTAATACAAGGATGACAATGGTAATACAAGGACATCTATGGTAATACAAGGATGGCTATGGTAATACAAGGACCACAATGGTAATACAAGGACCACAATGGTAATACAAGGACAACTATGGTAATACAAGGATGACAATGGTAATACAAGGACATCTATGGTAATACAAGGATGACTATGGTAATACAAGGACCACAATGGTAATACAAGGACGTCTATGGTAATACAAGGACCACAATGGTAATACAAGGACGACTATGGTAATACAAGGACCACAATGGTAATACAAGGACCACAATGGTAATACAAGGACGACTATGGTAATACAAGGACCACAATGGTAATACAAGGACCACAATGGTAATACAAGGACAACTATGGTAATGCAAGGACCACAATGGTAATACAAGGACAACTATGGTAATACAAGGACCACAATGGTAATACAAGGACCACAATGGTAATAAAAGAACCATAATTGTTGGTGGCCCTTAACGTTGTTGGGTTAAGGGCCATAAATTCTTGTTTTGGTTAATGGCCGTTGGCCTGGAGTTTTAGGATTTGCTTGCCATGGGTTCAAACCATACCTGTTATTGAGGATATTAAGGACCACCAAGTGTTAGGGTTTTTAAGGGCCACCAGTTGAGGTTAAGGGTCACTAATTATTTGGGATGTTAAAGGTCACCAACTAGTGTCAGGGTTGTTAAGGGCCACCAAGTGTTGTCAGGGTCATTAAGGGCCTCCAAAGCTTATGCCTTATTGAGCCCTGCCTCCCAGAAGTCTGGAAAAAATGTGTAGGCTGAATATGGGGAGGAATTAAGAAGGAAAAAGTTTCCCTTGGAATGATAAATAGAAAATGTTCTCAAATTAGATGAATCCCCTTACCTACACCCAGTTGTATGAATATTATTAGAGCCAGCTGGCCCAGTGGTTAACACACAGGCCTGTGAGTTTTAACACATCATGGGTTTAAGTCCCACCCATTCCCTAATCTGTTGACTTAGGTGTGAATAAAGGTATGTAAGAGGATTCACCTAATTTGGAATATTTTATTTCTGTTTTTCATTCCTAAGGAAACTTTTTCTTTATAATTTGCCTCCCATGTTTGGGCTACATGTTTTTTCCTGACTTTCCAGAGGCAGGACTCAATAACAATTGATGGTTCATAACCTCCCCAATTAGTGACCCTTAACAATCTCCACAGGCGTCAAGGACCACAATGGAAATTAGTCACTTTGACCTTTTTGTTATCCTGGTGGGCAATTTACACTAGAGAGAGAATTAGGTATGATAATTGTGCTTATGTATACATGTACCCAAATAAACTTAGTCTTAACAGCCTCAATAACAATAGCCTTTAACAACCCAAGAAGATACTTAAGCTGTGTCAACCCTTCAACCCAACGAGATACTTCAACTCCCCCCCTCGGAATAAGTCACTTTGACTTTTCCGGGTTATCTTGGTGGGTAATCTACACATATGCTGCTATGTATGATAATTTATGTAAGTGTATTTGTGTGTACCTGTACTTGAATAAACTTATTACTGACTAGAATTGTCTCAACCCTTCAACCCAACAAAACCCTCAAGGCCCACAATGGAAATAAGTCACTTTGTCTGACTTTTTGAGTTATCCCAGGTTCTCTACACATATGCTGCTATGTATGATAATCCATGTAACTACACATGCTGCTATGTATGATAATCTATGTAACTACACATACCCTACTATGTATGATAATCTATGTAACTACACATACGCTACTATGTATGATAATCTATGTAACTACACATACCCTACTATGTATGATAATCTATGTAACTACACATACGCTACTATGTATGATAATCTATGTAACTACACATACGCTACTATGTATGATCTATGTATTTATGTATACCTGACTAAACTGTCTCAACCCTTCAACCTAACAAGACCCTCAAGGCCCACAATGGAAATAAGTCACTTTGTCTGACTTTTTGAGTTATCCCAGGTTCTCTACACATATGCTGCTATGTATGATGATCCATATAACTACACATATGCTGCTATGTATGAAAATCCATGTATTTATGTACACCTGACTAAACTGTGCCAACCCTTCCACCCAACAAGATACTTGAGCTTCATCAACCCTTCCACCCAACAATAACAACAGGAAGCAGCAGCAGTTCACTGTCATTTTCTCTGACATTTCCTGTTATATTTCTCCCCAGGTGACTTATGTTTAATATATAATATATTCTGACAGTTGGTGTATATACCATTGTATTCGCCCTACGGGTTTAGAGCTCCCCCGGGTATGTAATGGGGAGTATAGCCGCGTCTTGAGGGGACCCCCCCCCAGGCCAGGTATTATTGTGACCCCCATGCGAGTTTAGCGCTCGGTTGGTGGGTGTGATAGTGATGTCTGGGGGTGGCCAGTGGAGGGTTCTTGATCCCAGGAAGGGGAGCAACTTGCTCCCGACACCTCGACTCGGGGTTTTGTCTCTCCCGTTGGCACTGGCCCGTACGGGTTTAGTGCTCCACCATAGTAATATATTCTGAGGCTCTGTATAGCCAGTACGGGTTTAGTGCTCCACCGTGGTATTAATTAGTCATTCCCGAGGCTCTGTATAGCCAGTACGGGTTTAGTGCTCCACCGTGGTATTAATTAGTCATTCTCGAAGCTCTATATAGCCAGTACGGGTTTAGTGCTCCCGGGTGAGAGGTAACACCCCATACTACACACAGCGCTTCACTGTTATTCTAACAATATTTTTATTTTCCTTGGTTCGAAGACTCGAGATCGGTATCGATCATGGCGCCGGCGCGGGACGCCAACGTGGTGAAGCTGGCGGTGGAGATGAGGACCCTAGAGAACAAACCCATCCCATACCTGGGAGAGTTTAGTCTCCAGCAACCTCTGGCAGCGTTCATCGTGGTGAGTCACTTCTGGGGTCACCTCTGGGGTCACCTCTTGAGTCACCTCTGGAGTCACCTCTGGGGTCATCTCTGGGGTCACCTCTGGGGTCGCCTCTGGGGTCACCTCTTGAGTCGCCTCTGGGGTCACCTCTGGGGTCACCTCTTGAGTCGCGTCTGGGGTCACCTCTGGGGTTGCCTCTTGAGTCGCCTCTGGAGTCACCTCTGGGGTCGCCTCTGGGGTCACCTCTTGAGTCGCCTCTGAGGTCACCTCTTGAGTCGCCTCTGGAGTCACCTCTGGGGTCACCTCTGGGGTCATCTCTGGGGTCATCTCTGGGGTCGCCTCTGGGGTCACCTCTTGAGTCGCCTCTGGGGTCACCTCTGGGGTTGCCTCTGGGGTCGCATCTGGGGTCACCTCTGGGGTCACCTCTGGGGTTGCCTCGGGGGTCGCATCTGGGGTCACCTCTGGGGTTGCCTCTGGGGTCACCTCCTCTGCTCAAAAATGACTTAACTGAAACAACTTGAAGTGATGCGATTGGCTGGGATATCACGAGAATATAGCAAAGTAGTTGTCTTGAATAAGGCACACACACTGATGGTCGCACCGCTGCGATGGTCGCACCGCTGCGATGGTCGCACCGCTGCGATGGTCGCACCGCTGCGATGGTCGCACCGCTGCGATGGTCGCACCGCTGCGATGGTCACACCGCTGCAATGGTCGCACCGCTGCGATGGTCGCACCGCTGCGATGGTCGCACCGCTGCGATAGTCGCACCGCTGCGATGGTCGCACTGCTGTGATGGCCTCACTGCTGCGATGGTCACACTGCTGCGATGGTCACACTGCTGCGATGGTCGCACTGCTGCGATGGTCACACTGCTGCGATGGTCACACTGCTGCGATGGTCACACTGCTGCGATGGTCGCACCACTGTGATAGTCACACTGCTGCGATGGTCGCACCACTGTGATGGTCACACTGCTGCGATGGTCGCACCGCTGTGATGGTCACACTGCTGCGATGGTCGCACCGCTGTGATGGTCACACTGCTGCGATGGTCGCACCGCTGTGATGGTCACACTGCTGCGATGGTCGCACCGCTGTGATGGTCACACTGCTGCGATGGTCGCACCGCTGTGATGGTCACATTGCTGTGACTATCGCTCAAGTGTCGCCCATTTTTCTATATAGAGTGCATTATGTTGTAATATACTCGCACTTGTATTAATAGAGTCGGTGTGTTGCAGGAACTGTGTACACACTGGAAAGTGGACAACCCGGAGTTCTACGCCTTACAGTACACCGAACCCACCTGCCATTATGTCACCGAGAAAAACAGAGGAAGGATTAAGGTAGCGAGTTTTGTTTCTGTCGATGATTTGTGACTCACGAAATTGTAATGACACGATTGCAAACAAACCATACCACGGGCGGGACTGAACCCGCGGTCAGAGAGTCTCAAAACTCCAGACCGTGAGACTCTCTGACCGCGGGTTCAGTCCCGCCCGGGGTATGGGATTATTTGTGATTTGTTTTTGTCAATAATTAAAAATTTTGTAGCTACGGTTATTTCAGTTTGAAAGACGCTGTGGGTCACCCTAATGTTTGTTCCGCCGATGTTGTTCAGCGTAAACACTCGCTTGTACGCCATATTTCAGCCAGTTAGTTAGTCTTTTGTTTTGTATCCCCCCAAGGAAGGTTCCTTGATGCTGATGAGGGGCTCTTGATCTAGGGAATTGGATCTGTGCTCCAGTTCCCTGAATTAAACCTGAATACTTTCCATCCCCCCCCCAACATGCGCTGTATAATCCTAAGGGTTTAGCGCTCCCCCGTGATTATGATAATCATTTTGTTTTGTATATATGCTGCACTTTACTGTTTGTGGTTGAATCATAGCTCCTGGCCCCGGTTATCAAGGCTAGGTCAGTACAGCTAGGTCAGTACAGCTAGGTCAGTACAGCTAGGTCAGTACAGCTAGGTCAGTACAGCTAGGTCAGTACAGCTAGGTCAGTACAGCTAGGTCAGTACAGCTAGGTCAGTATAGCTAGGTCAGTACAACTAGGTCAGTACAGCTAGGTCAGTACAGCTAGGTCAGTACAGCTAGGTCAGTACAGCTAGGTCAGTACAGCTAGGTCAGTACAGCTAGGTCAGTACAGCTAGGTCAGTACAGTTAGGTCAGTACAGCTAGGTCAGTACAGCTAGGTCAGTACAGCTAGGTCAGTACAGCATAACAGTAGGTCAGTACAGCTAGGTCAGTACAGCTAGGTCAGTACAGCTAGGTCAGTACAGCTAGGTCAGTACAGTTAGGTCAGTACAGCTAGGTCAGTACAGCTAGGTCAGTACAGCTAGGTCAGTACAGCTAGGTCAGTACAGTTAGGTCAGTACAGCTAGGTCATACAGCTAGGTCAGTACAGCTAGGTCAGTACAGCTAGGTCAGTACAGTTAGGTCAGTACAGTTAGGTCAGTACAGCTAGGTCAGTACAGTTAGGTCAGTACAGCTAGGTCAGTACAGCTAGGTCAGTACAGCTAGGTCAGTACAGTTAGGTCAGTACAGCTAGGTCAGTACAGCTAGGTCAGTACAGTTAGGTCAGTACAGCTAGGTCAGTACAGCTAGGTCAGTACAGTTAGGTCAGTACAGCTAGGTCAGTACAGTTAGGTCAGTACAGTTAGGTCAGTACAGCTAGGTCAGTACAGTTAGGTCAGTACAGTTAGGTCAGTACAGCTAGGTCAGTACAGTTAGGTCAGTACAGCTAGGTCAGTACAGTTAGGTCAGTACAGCTAGGTCAGTACAGTTAGGTCAGTACAGTTAGGTCAGTACAGCTAGGTCAGTACAGTTAGGTCAGTACAGCTAGGTCAGTACAGTTAGGTCAGTACAGTTAGGTCAGTACAGCTGGGTCAGCACAGCTAGGTCAGTACAGCTAGGTCAGTACAGCTAGGTACAGCTAGGTCAGTATAGCTAGGTCAGTACAGCTAGGTCAGCACAGCTAGGTCAGTACAGCTAGGTCAGTACAGCTAGGTCAGCACAGCTAGGTCAGTACAGCTAGGTCAGTACAGCTAGGTCAGTACAGCTAGGTCAGTACAGCTAGGTCAGTACAGCTAGGTCAGCACAGCTAGGTCAGCACAGCTAGGTCAGTACAGCTAGGTCAGTACAGCTAGTTCAGTACAGCTAGGTCAGTACAGCTAGGTCAGTACAGCTAGGTCAGTACAGCTAGGTCAGTACAGCTAGGTCAGTACAGCTAGGTCAGTACAGCTAGGTCAGTACAGCTAGGTCAGCACAGCTAGGTACAGCTAGGTCAGTACAGCTAGGTCAGTACAGCTAGGTACAGCTAGGTCAGTACAGCTAGGTCAGCACAGCTAGGTACAGCTAGGTCAGTACAGCTAGGTACAGCTAGGTCAGTACAGCTAGGTCAGCACAGCTAGGTACAGCTAGGTCAGTACAGCTAGGTCGGTACAGCTAGGTCAGTACAGCTAGGTCAGTACAGCTAGGTCAGTACAGCTAGGTCAGTACAGCTAGGTCAGTACAGCTAGGTCAGCACAGCTAGGTCAGTACAGCTAGGTCAGTACAGCTAGGTCAGTACAGCTAGGTCAGTACAACTAGGTCAGTACAGCTAGGTCAGTACAGCTAGGTCAGCACAGCTAGGTCAATACAGCTAGGTCAGTACAGCTAGGTCCGCACAGCTAGGTCAGTACAGCTAGGTCAGCACAGCTAGGTCAGTACAGCTAGGTCAGTACAGCTAGGTCAGCACAGCTAGGTCAGTACAGCTAGGTCAGCACAGCTAGGTCAGTACAGCTAGGTCAGCACAGCTAGGTCAGTACAGCTAGGTCAGCACAGCTAGGTCAGTACAGCTAGGTCAGTACAGCTAGGTCAGTACAGCTAGGTCAGCACAGCTAGGTCAGTACAGCTAGGTCAGTACAGCTAGGTCAGCACAGCTAGGTCAGTACAGCTAGGTCAGCACAGCTAGGTCAGTACAGCTAGGTCAGTACAGCTAGGTCAGCACAGCTAGGTCAGTACAGCTAGGTCAGTACAGCTAGGTCAGCACAGCTAGGTCAGTACAGCTAGGTCAGCACAGCTATGTCAGTACAGCTAGGTCAGTACAGCTAGGTCAGTACAGCTAGGTCAGTACAGCTAGGTCAGTACAGCTAGGTCAGTACAGCTAGGTCAGCACAGCTAGGTCAGTACAGCTAGGTCAGTACAGCTAGGTCAGTACAGCTAGGTCAGCACAGCTAGGTCAGCACAGCTAGGTCAGCACAGCTAGGTCAGCACAGCTCGGTCAGCACAGCTAGGTCAGTACAGCTAGGTCAGCACAGCTAGGTCAGCACAGCTAGGTCAGTACAGCTAGGTCAGTACAGCTAGGTCAGTACAGCTAGGTCAGTACAGCTAGGTCAGCACAGCTAGGTCAGTACAGCTAGGTACAGCTAGGTCAGTACAGCTAGGTCAGTACAGCTAGGTCAGTACAGCTAGGTCAGTACAGCTAGGTACAGCTAGGTCAGTACAGCTAGGTCAGTACAGCTAGGTCAGTACAGCTAGGTCAGTACAGCTAGGTCAGTACAGCTAGGTCAGTACAGCTAGGTCAGTACAGCTAGGTCAGCACAGCTAGGTCAGCACAGCCAGGTCAGCACAGCCAGGTCAGTACAGCTAGGTCAGCACAGTCAGGTCAGTACAGTCAGGTCAGCACAGCTAGGTCAGCACAGCTAGGTACAGCTAGGTCAGTACAGCTAGGTCAGTACAGTCAGGTCAGTACAGTCAGGTCAATACAGTCAGGTCAGCACAGTCATGTCAGTACAGTCAGGTCAGTACAGTCAGGTCAGTACAGTCAGGTCAGTACAGCCAGGTCAGTACAGTCAGGTCAGTACAGTCAGGTCAGTACAGCTAGGTCGGTACAGCTAGGTCGGTACAGCTAGGTCGGTACAGTCAGGTCAGTACAGTCAGGTCAGTACAGCCAGGTCAGTACAGTCAGGTCAGTACAGCCAGGTCAGTACAGCCAGGTCAGTACAGTCAGGTCAGTATCAGTCCAGGTCAGTACAGTCAGGTCAGTACAGTCAGGTCAGTACAGCCAGGTCAGTACAGTCAGGTCAGTACAGTCAGGTCAGTACAGCCAGGTCAGTACAGTCAGGTCAGTACAGTCAGGTCAGTACAGCCAGGTCAGTACAGTCAGGTCGGTACAGCTAGGTCGGTACAGCTAGGTCGGTACAGCCAGGTCAGTACAGTCAGGTCAGTACAGCTAGGTCGGTACAGCCAGGTCGGTACAGTCAGGTCAGTACAGCTAGGTCGGTACAGCTAGGTCGGTACAGCTAGGTCGGTACAGTCAGGTCAGTACAGTCAGGTCAGTACAGCCAGGTCAGTACAGTCAGGTCAGTACAGTCAGGTCAGTACAGTCAGGTCAGTACAGTCAGGTCAGTACAGCCAGGTCAGTACAGTCAGGTCAGTACAGCCAGGTCAGTACAGTCAGGTCAGTACAGTCAGGTCAGTACAGTCAGGTCAGTACAGCCAGGTCAGTACAGTCAGGTCAGTACAGCCAGGTCAGTACAGCCAGGTCAGTACAGTCAGGTCAGTACAGTCAGGTCAGTACAGTCAGGTCAGTACAGCCAGGTCAGTACAGTCAGGTCAGTACAGTCAGGTCAGTACAGCCAGGTCAGTACAGTCAGGTCAGTACAGCCAGGTCAGTACAGTCAGGTCAGTACAGTCAGGTCAGTACAGTCAGGTCAGTACAGTCAGGTCAGTACAGTCAGGTCAGTACAGCCAGGTCAGTACAGTCAGGTCAGTACAGTCAGGTCAGTACAGCCAGGTCAGTACAGTCAGGTCAGTACAGTCAGGTCAGTACAGCCAGGTCAGTACAGTCAGGTCAGTACAGTCAGGTCATACAGCCAGGTCAGTACAGTCAGGTCAGTACAGTCAGGTCAGTACAGCAGGTCAGTACAGTCAGGTCAGTACAGTCAGGTCAGTACAGTCAGGTCAGTACAGTCAGGTCAGTACAGTCAGGTCAGTACAGTCAGGTCAGTACAGTCAGGTCAGTACAGTCAGTCAGTACAGTCAGGTCAGTACAGTCAGGTCAGTACAGTCAGGTCAGTACAGTCATCAGTACAGTCAGGTCAGTACAGTCAGGATAGTAATCTCTCTCAATATTAGTGGATGGAATACCTGAAGTATATCTGGATAGGGTTTCGGGGGTCAGCGCCCCCACGGCCTGGTCTATGGTCAGACCTCATGGTGGATCAGAGCCTGATCAACCAGGCTGTTACTATTGGCCGCATGCAACCCGACATAGAAACCACAGCCCTGGTGGTCAGGTACTGACTAGGTGCTTGTCTGGTGCCTTCGTGAAGACAGTCAAACTCCTAGCACTTCTTGTGTCGAAATGACACAATGAAAATAAGTCACTTGACTTTCTTGGATTATCCTGGTGGGTAATTTACACTATGTATAATAATTATACTTATGTCTACCTGTATCTACATAAACTTACTTACTAGGCTTTATTGTAATACTTTCTTAAACATAAATACAGTGGACTCACGCTTTACGATCAGCTCCCAATGCAACCAATTATGTAAGTGTATATATGTAAGTGCGCTTGTACGTGTATGTTTGGGGGTCTGAAATGGACTAATCTAATTCACAATATTCCTTATGGGAACAAATTCGTTCAGTAATGGCACCTGAACATACTTCTGGAATGAAATAATATCGTAAGCCGGGGGTCCACTGTATATAGTAGCCTGTACTGTGAAGGATGGGTGGTCGGGATACTGCATTTTGGAGTGTCAGCAAAAGTGTAGTGAAGGCACACCTCTGGCAAGATATTGGTTGAGTGATGGTGCAAGTGTTTCTTCCGTCTTGCATCACCCTACCTTGGTGGGAGGTGGCCCATGTGTTAAAAAATTTGCATTTCAGCTTAAGTCTGCTTATTAAAATAAATACAAAATACAAAATTTATTTCTTTTATGCAGTATACAGTAATTTAGTTTACATGTAATAATATATTGTTAGGTGTAAAAGAAAGCCATTAGCATGAGATGTATTTCAGGCAGTATTTTGTAGTGTATGGGGCCCATTCCAGGATGGTACGGTGCTTCACCTGGTGTATTCTGCCGCTCGAACGGCGGACGATATTCTGCAGAAGATGAAGAAAGGTCAGCTTGATGAGAAGAAAGAGGCGCTGGAGAGTCTGGTCAAGCGAAGCTCTGACATCACCTTTGCCCATGAGTTCATCTCCAAGCAGGCAAGTCTACCATGATGTAAGGTCATCCCCAGCAGGCAAGTCTACCATGATGTAGTAAGGTCATCCCCAGCAGGCAAGTCTCCCAGAGTAAGATGGACTTTCATGCTGACAATGAGCTCCTGTTCCAAGAAGTTGGAGTTACCCTCCTTTTCCTTGGATCAAACCTGATTACTTCCCGTTTATAAGGCAGCAGAAAAGCACCTTTCACTGTACAGTAAACTCTCATTGTAACATGGAAATATAAGAATTCAAAGTACCATTTAACCAGCAAATTTTATCTATAATTTGAAAAGTCCATTATATCAAGGTATGTTATATGTAGGGTGTACTGTATACCATTTTCTTGAACTTCACAACAGTGAGAAGTATGAAAAAAATACAAATTCTGTGAGTACAGTGGACCCCCGGTTTACGATCAGCTCCCAATGCGACCAATTATGTAAGTGTATTTATGTAAGTGCGTTTGTACGTGTATGTTTGGGGGTCTGAAATGGACTAATCTACTTCACAATATTCCTTATGGGAACAAATTCGGTCAGTACTGGCACCTGAACATACTTATGGAGTGAAATAATATCGTAAACCGGGGGTCCACTGTATATGTACAACAATAACAGTACAGTAATTGTACATATGGTCATTGCGTTACAATCAATATAAGAAAACTGAATATTCTGTCAAGTCATGCTATATGGCTTTAATAAGCTTGGTAGAGAAGAATTGCAGTTTTGATTATTAACCCAAGGTAGACACAATGGAAATATTAAATAATGTAGGAGAAGGTTAGTTACGACAAAGAATAAGTCTCTCTATCAAGTCGAAACAGTTCATCACGAGCCTGGTGGCTAAAGTTCCCGCTTCACACACGGAGGGCCTGGGTTCGATTCCCGGGGGGTGGAAACATTTCAACACGTTTCCTTACACCTGTTGTCCTGTTCACCTAGCAGCAAATAGGTACCTGGGTGTTAGTTGACTGTTGTGGGTCACATCCTGGGGGACAAGATTAAGGACCCCAATGGAAATAAGTTAGACAGTCCTCGATGACGCACTGACTTTCTTGGGTTATCTTGGGTGGCTAACCCTCTGGGGTTAAAAATCCGAACGAAATCTTATCTTATCTTATCTTAATGATACTTCAGCCCTTCGTACACAATATCCTGCCATGTTGTCTTCAGACATTCTCCACTTTTCTCTTCCCAGTTGTGACTTGACAATGACTCAGGATGGGTCAAAATATCATCATAACACTCTTCCAAGGGCAGGTTTTTGGTGAGAACAAAAAAAATCACATTACCGTGACTGGTACAATTCACAAATAACCCGCACACATAGGAGAGAGAAACTTGTGACAGTATTCGAGTCCGATTTGGACCATTTACAAGTCGAACTCGTATATTAATTTAAATTTTATTGACTTCATGGAGCTTTTTATTTATAGTTGAAATATATTTCAGGGTATCAGCTTGTTAATCTCTTTCATGGAGATGCAGAAGAACGAGTCACCACTCCTGCCGAACATTCTCTCCTCGTTCCTGGAACTGATGGACCATGGTATTATGTCTTGGGACGACCTGCAGCCAAGTTTTATCGGAAAGGTTAGTGCAACACTGTGTATATATCTTCACTCTATCTCTGTTTCTCACTGCTTTATTCTTCCCTAACTGGCTCTGTATACTTTATCTTTTTATAAATTTGAATAAAAAACAATATAATGACTGGAACGATTCACAGCCTACCAACAAATTGAGTGGAAATTCATGATATTTCAGCCCATCCTTGACTATAATTTACCTCCATGTAGATAAAGGGAGAAAACCAAAAATGTGGATTTTCAAACTTTTAGCGGAATTTTTCCTTGCCCGACGATTAGAGTTTTTTTGTACCTTTGTAATACAGTGGACCCCCGGTTAACGAACTTTTTTCACTCCAGAAGTATGTTCAGGTGCCAGTACTGACCGAATTTGTTCCCATAAGGAATATTGTGAAGTAGATTAGTCCATTTCAGACCCCCAAACATACACGTACAAACGCACTTACATAAATACACTTACATAATTGGTCGCATTTGGAGGTGATCGTTAAGCGGGGGTCCACTGTACATCACATTTTGACAGAAATACGGCAGAAATTTTTGATGAATATTAAGAAGCTTTTACTGGTATAAAGTTCCACCCATAGACAAAGACACTTCAGCAGATATATAGAAAATACAAGACCAGAGCTTCTTAATATATGTGATAAATTAGATACCTGAGTAACACTTGGGAATCTTTATTGTGATAATGTTTTACCATCCAGTGGCTTCCTTAGTCCAGTACAGAGAAGAATAGTTCAAGATGAGAAGGCATTTGAGGTATCAGTCCCTCATCCATCAATCTTGATGGACTGGTCACATTGACTCCGGACTGATCACAGTGACTCCGGATTGATCACATTGACTCCGGACTGATTACATTGACTCCGGACTGATCACATTGACTCCGGATTGATCACATTGACTCCGGACTGATTACATTGACTCCGGACTGATCACATTGACTCCAGACTGGTCACATTGACTCCGGACTGATCACATTGACTCCAGACTGATCACATTGACTCCAGACTGATCACATTGACTCCGGACTGATCACATTGACTCCAGACTGATCACATTGACTCCGGACTGATCACATTGACTCCGGACTGATTACATTGACTCCGGACTGATCACATTGACTCCGGATTGATCACATTGACCCCCGACTGTTTAAACATTGACTCCGACTGATCACATTGACTCCGGACTGATCACATTGACTCCGGACTGATTACATTGACTCCGGACTGATTACATTGACTCCGGACTGATCACATTGACTCCGGATTGATCACATTGACTCCGGACTGATTACATTGACTCCGGACTGATCACATTGACTCCGGACTGATCACATTGACTCCGGACTGATTACATTGACTCCGGACTGATTACATTGACTCCGGACTGATCACATTGACTCCGGATTGATCACATTGACTCCAGACTGATCACATTGACTCCGGACTGATCACATTGACTCCGGACTGATCACATTGACTCCAGACTGAGGGACTAATTACCTCACACTCCTCCTGATCTTCAACCATTCTCCTCTGTACTGGACTGAGGAAGCCACTGGATGGTAAAATGTTGCCACAAGATACCTTAGTGTTACACAAGTATCTAATCTGTCAACTTGCCAGTTCTCTGAACCATTTCTCTACAAATTCACTGTGTAGAGGAGAGATGAAGATTATTATTATTATTATTTTTTTATTTTTTTTTTATTATCACACTGGCCGATTCCCACCAAGGCAGGGTGGCCCGAAAAAGAAAAACTTTCACCATCATTCACTCCATCACTGTCTTGCCAGAAGGGTGCTTTACACTACGGTTTTTAAACTGCAACATTAACACCCCTCCTATAATCAAGGAGGAAGCACTAAACTCGTAGGATTATACAGCGCCTGTGGAGAGGATGTGGAAGGTATTCAGGCTTAATTCAGCGAACTGGAGCGCACATCCAATTCCCTAGATCAAGAGCCCCTCACCAGCGTCAAGGAACCTCCCTTAAGGGGGAAGAGATAAGGAGGTGAGTGAAACAAGGGATCCACTGGCCTTCAGGTTTGTCTTGTAAGATGATGTGGGTGATAGACATAGCCAAGGTGAACACACCAATATTCTGATACTGTACAGCTTTGAGATAGTTAAGACTCCACATATATTTATTTAATTCTGACACAAGACAGTTGCTTTACCATTCACTATACGCTTATCCTTTAACCCTTAAACTGTCCAAACGTACATCTACGTTCACTCGTGTAGCGCTCCGAACGTAGATCTACGTTTTATTTTACATGCTTTCCAATGCAAAAAAAAAGTAGATCTATGTTCGGAGTGCTACGCAAGTGAACGTAGATTTACATTTGGACAGTTGAGATAAGTGTATGGTACCTGGAGTTTACCTGGAGAGAGTTCCGGAGGTCAACGCCCCCGCGGCCCGGTCTGTGACCAGGCCTGAAGATATTGTATTTATCTTGCAATATGGTTTAGAAAGACACGTAAACAAACACTATGACATATTTATTAGAAAACGTTTCGGTCCTGGGACCTTGATCACTTCTAACATACAGAGGTAGAAAGGCATTATATATATAGGCGGAGAGTGAGGTGTGACGCACGTGACCTGAGGAATGTCATAAGAACATAAGAATGGAGGAACACTATAGAAGGCCTACTGGCCCATGCAAAGCAGGTCCTTATCAAAACAACCTCTGCTATGATGAGTGTTTGCTTACGTGTCTTTTTAAACCAACTTGTCGGTATTTATTACCAAGGTTTATACCATCTTGCAATATGTATTACAGTATACTATATACACAGTAATACTTTCACAGCTTTTATAACAAGTGTTTCCAGCAAGACCCGAACACAGAAGTTTTATTAAATGTATTCACTGGTATTTAAGACAAAATCGAATGTTTGAATGTGAATACATGACAGCAGTGTGCATGACATGTTGCCATATTTCACAGTGAGGTGTTGTTTTACAGTCAGTCATTTACATAAATCTTTATCACTTACAGCCTCAGAGGTCAAAGACCAGGTCATGATTATCACACTGAGGATGGAACCTCCACTTCTAGTGATGAATAACCATTGTGAGTTTAGTAGATGGAGGATGGAACCTCCACTTCTGGTGATGGTTTAGTAGACAGAGGATAGAACCTCCACTTCTGGTGATGAATAACCATTGTGGGTTTAATAAATGGAGGATAGAACCTCCACTTCTAGTGATGAATACCAATGTGAGTTTAGTAGACGGAGGATGGAACCTCCACTTCTGGTGATGAATAACCATTGTGGGTTTAGTAGACGGAGGATAGAACCTCCACTTCTAGTGATGAATACCAATGTGAGTTTAGTAGACGGAGGATAGAACCTCCACTTCTGGTGATGAATAACCATTGTGGGTTTAGTAAATGGAGGATGGAACCTCCATTTCTGGTGATGAATAACCATTGTGAGTTTAGTAAATGGAGGATAGAACCTCTATTTCTCCTGGTACTGAATGACCAATGTAGGTTTAACATTTCATGTGCTACAAGTAACTGTACCATCCACAGATGGTGTCGTACATCAACGTACAGGGGACGGTGGACACCCGTACACTCTCCACCGCCCTCACCATCCTTGAGAACATTATGCTAAACAGCCAGACCAACTTCGCCACGGTGGAAACACAGATAGCACTACCTAAGCTCCTCCATCACATCTCCAACAACAAGGTGAGAGATACAGTACCTTCCTCTTCAGAAACAGTACTCACCTATTTGTGGTTGCAGGGGTTGAGTCACAGCTCCTGGCCCTGCCTCTTTGCTGGTCAGTACTAGGTCCATTTTCTCCCTGTTCCATGAGCTTTATCATACCTCATCTTAAAGCTATGTATGGATCCTGCCTCCACTATACCACTCTCCAGATTGTTCCACTTCCTGACAACTCTAAGGCTGAAGAAATACTTCCTAACATCCCTGTAAATCATCTGAGTCTTCAACTGCTAGTTGTGCCCTGATGCTAGTAAAAGACTTTGTAACCCTTAAACTGTCCAAACGTAGATCTATGTTTGCACGCATAGCGCTCCCAACGTAGATCTATGTTTGCACGCATAGCACTCCCAACATAGATCTATGTTTGCACGCATAGCGCTCCCAACGTAGATCTATGTTTGCACGCATAGCACTCCCAACGTAGATCTATGTTTGCACGCATAGCGCTCCCAACGTAGATCTATGTTTGCACGCATAGCGCTCCCAACGTAGATCTACATTTTTTATTACATAAGAAACAATGTAAAACTGAACGTAGATCTACGTTTGGAGCGCTACACATGCGAACGTAGATCTACATTTAGACAGTTTAAGGGTTAAATTAATTAGAACACCCCTTCTCCCCCCCCTTGATAAGTGGCTTATTAACTGCCCATTGTACATTAATGGTATTCAGTACCAAGAAGATGAAGAATAAGATACATGTGTAACACCTGGGTATCTTAAAGATACCCAGGTGTTGCACAAGTGTCTTATACCTCTCATTCCCTAGGCAATCTTTACTGTCTATAATTTTATGCTATTGTACATATAATTTTGAGTCCCAATAATAAATTATAGTTTTAGCATGACCAAAATTCTCTCCATTATTAGTGGGTTTTCAAGTAGCTAGTTACCTATTTAGTAACTGTTTATAACTGCTCTGTAACTACTTTATTTGTAACTACTGCATTGTAACTAATTAATGCTCTGTTTGGAATTCATTTTCATTTTTTTTCTTTTTTGTACCTTGGTGAGTGGACAGAAAGTGGATATCCAACAGTCAGTGTTGGCCGTCATTAATGCTCTCATCCAGAAGTCTGACCTCCAGAAGAAGAAGCAGTACTGTACAACAATGTCGAGCCGTCAGTACCGCACCATCCTCATCAACAACGTTCTCATACACACTGAGGTCAGCTGCAGTAATTCATTCTCTCTCTCTCTCTCTCTCTCTCTCTCTCTCTCTCTCTCTCTCTCTCTCTCTCTCTTCTTTTCTCTCTCTCTCTTCTCTCTCTCTATCTCTCTCTCTAACTCTCTCTATCATCTCTCTCTTATCCTCTCTCTATCTTCTATTCTCTTCTAATTATCTCTATACTTCTCTCTATCTCTTCTCTATCTTCTATCTATCTCTCTCTATATCTTTAGCTCTATTCTAAACTCTCTCTATATCTCTCTCTCTATCTCTCTCTTTCTCTCTCTCTATCTCTCTCTCTATCTCTCTCTCTATCTCTCTCTCTATCTCTCTCTCTATCTCTCTCTCTATCTCTCTCTCTATCTCTCTCTCTATCTCCTCTCTATCTCTCTCTCTATCTCTATCTCATATTTCTCCTATCTCTCTCTCTATCTCTCTCTCTATTCCTCTCTATTCCCTCTATCTCTTCTCTAATCTCTCTCTCTATCTCTCTTCTATTCTCTCTCTATCCCTCTCTCTACCTCTCTATCTAGATCTCTCTGTATCTCCTCTCTATATCTCTCTTCTCTCTCTAACTTTCTCCTCTCTCTCTACCTCTCTCTCTTCTTCTATCTCTAGCTCTCTCTCTCATCTCTCACTTACTCACATCGAAGTTATCTACACCCAGAAAGATCACTTTTTAGTCTGGTTCAACTACTTTTTCTCATTACTGAGAAGTTAATCTTAATACATTTTACAATGATATTTATATATTGATAAGTGGGACACTTGTGTATATTTTGGCTAAAAATTGAAATATGTAAGAAAATGCTTCAAGCTACTCTGATTTGTCAAAATATGCAATAAAAAATGTCTTAGCACACTTTCCTGTATTTTTTAAGTTTGTACAGGTTTAATCAATACCCAAGTGTTGCACATATATTTATCAACTTGTAGAAATGAAGATTGTCCCGTAGCTCTCTTGCTAGCGCACTCGGATCACACACTGAGGTTCAGAGTTCGAATCCCCAGTATGGCTTGAAAACGTTAGGACATGTTTCCATGAGACACTTGATGTCCATGTTCACCCATCAGTATAAGTTGGGTACCTGGGCATTAGTAGACTGGTGTGGGTCACATCCTGGGCATTAGTAGACTGGTGTGGGTCACATCCTGGGCGTTAGTAGACTGGTGTGGGTCGCGTCCTGGGCATTAGTAGACTGGTGTGGGTCGCATCCTGGGACAAAACTGACCTAATTTGCCCGAAATGTTCAGCATAACAAGCGGCTTTATATATAGTAGTATGTCATTGATGTCAGCTAGGACTGTATACCTTGTCATTGATGTCAGCTAGGACTGTATACCTTGTCATTGATGTCAGCTAGGACTGTATACCTTGTCATTGATGTCAGCTAGGCCTGTATACCTTGTCATTGATGTCAGCTAGGCCTGTATACCTTGTCATTGATGTCAGCTAGGCCTGTATACCTTGTACATGTACAGGAGGCCCCCACATATACAGCATCTCTTATCGGTGTTCCACGTTTTTGTTGACTTTCAGAAAATTGAGCCATTGATCGTTACATTCCATCCATTGGTGACTGTCTACAGCAGGTAGGAAAAAATTAAAAATGGCTCAATTTGAAACCAGTGAAAAATGGACCACCGAGAAGATGTTGTACGTGCAGGGCCCCACTGTATACTCTTTTCCCCTATCATTAAATATAATAGTTGCAGCTTGTCAGCGCAGACAATGCTGAAATAATTTACATGTTCTAGCGATACATTCGACTGTTGCTTGTTGCAGAGTGGCAGTGTTGGAGCAGACATGGCACACCAGCTGTATGTGCTGCAACAGCTGCTTCTTAACCAGTACGAAGAGCGCATGAACACCAGCATGGACGCCAACGATCAGGATGCCACTGACAAGATCAAGGAGCTGCGACGCATCGCCTTTGAGTCTGATGGCGATGTTAGTAATCAATTTCAGTTTTCTTTATTGATGTGAGGGCAACATTAGTAATAAATTTCAGAGATTTCCTTATTAACCCGTAAACGGTCCAAGCAGATCTACGTTCACACGTGTAGAGCTACAAAAGTAGATCTACGTTTTTTTTACATATTTTCAAATATAACAAAAAAAAAGTAGATCAAAGTTTTTTTACACATTTTCAAATGTAAAAAAAACAAAAAGATCTACTTTGTTTTACGTACTTTCAGATGTTGAAAAAACGTATATATACGTTTGGACCGTTTACGGGTTAATGTGACGGAAGACAAAAAATGAGGGCTTAACTTTTGGTGATTCTTAACCTGATGGTCAAATAAAACTAGTTTCTTGTTTTAAATTAACTTTATTATACAAAATACACCTACCGTCCGACTTATGACCGAGTTCGGTTCCGAGAAACCGGTCGTAAGTCGAACTTTACTACTGAATATCAACAAAACATTTTTGTAATGACTTTATTTTATTGTTTTATTTTGGTATTTCATGTTTTACTTTACTCTTTATGTTGTTAGTACTGTGTTTTATACTGTAAGGTTTAGCATAAACACTGTGTACAACACAAATACTGGTTTATTTCCCAGAAATTTGGCATAAAAAACACGGTCGTAAGTCGAGTGGTCGTAAGTTGAGCAGGTCGTAAGTCGAGTGGTCGTAAGTCGAGTGGTCATAAGTTGAGCAGGTTGTAAGTCGAGTGGTCATAAGTTGAGCAGGTCGTAAGTCAAGTGGTCATAAGTTGAGCAGGTCGTAAGTCAAGTGGTCATAAGTTGAGCAGGTCGTAAGTCAAGTGGTCATAAGTTGAGCAGGTCGTAAGTCGAGTGGTCATAAGTTGAGCAGGTCGTAAGTCGAGTGGTCATAAGTTGAGCAGGTCGTAAGTCAAGTGGTCATAAGTTGAGCAGGTTGTAAGTCGAGTGGTCGTAAGTCGAGTGGTCATAAGTTGAGCAGGTCGTAAGTCGAGTGGTCATAAGTTGAGCAGGTCGTAAGTCAAGTGATCATAAGTTGAGCAGGTCGTAAGTCAAGTGGTCATAAGTTGAGCAGGTCGTAAGTCAAGTGGTCATAAGTTGAGCAGGTCGTAAGTCAAGTGGTCATAAGTTGAGCAGGTCGTAAGTCAAGTGGTCATAAGTTGAGCAGGTCGTAAGTCGGATGGTAGTTGTAATGAGTGTTTGAGGGTTGTAAAGTGCTCACAACCTTCAGGGTTGTCAGCACTTCAATATTTGTGAATACGTTATGTATTTTCACTAAAAGGCATTTTGAAAAATGCTCATATGATCAAATTTTTTCCTTTGTGCCCATTTATTTTTGGCTCAGCGCACGACCCTGTAATTAAAAACTAACCATTAATTTTTAATCAGAATATTGCACATACAGTGACTTTCCAATGTCCAGATATTTACCTTTCTTTTTAACCCTTAAACAGTCCAAACGTATATATACGTTTTTTCAACATCTGAAAGTATGTAAAGAAATGTTGATCTTCTTTTTTGTTTTACATTTGAAAACGTGTAAAAAAAACTTTTATCTACATTTTTTTTTTTGTTATATTTGAAAATATGTAAAAAAAAGTAGATCTATTTTTGTAGCTACGAATTTGAACGTTGATCTGTTTGTCGATTTTAAGTCACATTTAGTGTACCATGATGCAGAAAATGGATGTTTTGTAGTATATTACCCAGAGTATCAGTGTTTTATGCAACATTAAGGTAGAATTTCAGTGTCTGCTAGTATATCAGTCAAAATTTTAGTGTTTGCTAGTACAGTGGACCCCCGGTTAACGATATTTTTTCACTCCAGAAGTATGTTCAGGTGCCAGTACTGACCGAATTTGTTCCCATAAGGAATATTGTGAAGTAGATTAGTCCATTTCAGACCCCCAAACATACACGTACAAACGCACTTACATAAATACACTTACATAATTGGTCGCATTTGGAGGTGATCGTTAAGCGGGGTCCACTGTATATTAGGCAGGATTCCTACCTGCTTGGAGCAACTTGGAAAAAGATATGAACCCAGTTTTCAAGGAAGATTTATTATACATTCATAATTTTTGTATTTGTGACTCCCAGATTCATGAGACCTAGCAACGTAACTCTGAAATTTGGGTGTCTCGCTGGACAGTATTTACCGAGGGTAAAAGTTTACCTGTTAGTTTACATACACTTCTTCAAGCCTTGATTGATAAACACTTTAGCAACTTCAGTGTTTTGGTTACATTTTTTTGTAATAAACTGGCCATCTCCTACCAAGGCAAGGTGACCTGAAAAAGAATCACTTTCACCATCATTCACGCCATCACTGTCTCGCCAGAGATGTGCAGATGCAACATTTCAGATGTCTCTCCAAATAGCAAATACAGTGGACCCCTGGTTAACGAACTTTTTTCATTCCAGTAGTATGTTCAGGTGCCAGTACTGACCGAATTTTTTCCCATAAGGAATATTGTGAAGTAGATTAGTCCATTTCAGACCCCCAAACATACACGTACAAACGCACTTACATAAATACACTTACATAATTGGTCGCATTTGGAGGTGATCGTTAAGCGGGGGTCCACTGTATCTCTTAACTCCTCCTCTAGAGTGCAGGCACTGTAAGTTTTTAATGTTATTTTATTATTAACACCGGCTGTTCCCCACCAAGGCAGGGTGGCCTGAAAAAGAAAAACTTTCATCATCATTCACTCCATCACTGTCTTGCTAGAGGTGCACTTACACTACAGTTATAAAACAGCAACATTAATACCCCTCCGTCAGAGTGCAGGCACTGTACTTCCAACCTCTAGGACTCAAGGCCGGCCTACCGGTTTCCCTCTATCATAACATAATTGTACAAGTCACTGTTACATAATACAAGTTTCTGATGTAATCTCCAACTTCCTGACTTACAGGAATGGCATTTCTAGAGGTCATAAGATTGATGGACTGACCACATTGACTCAAGGCTGAGGGACTGATTACCTCATTCTCCTCCTGTTCTTCAAGTTTATCTTTTGTATGGACTGATGAAGCCACTGTGTGGCGAAACATTTCCTCAATAAAGATACCCAAGAGTTGCACATGTGTCTAATTTAACAACATGTCGGTTCTTTGAACCATTCATCTACAGGTCATAAAAGAGTCCTGCGTGTTCATTAGTGAATTTCTCTGTCCTCAGTGTAACAGGGATGTTACGACGCGTCGGCCAGAGTACAAGAAGGAATATAAGAAACTTGGTTTCCGTAACGACATCAACCCTGCCCAGGACTTCATGGATATACCCCCGGGGATGCTGGCTCTTGACAACATGGTCTTCTTTGCCAGGAACCATTCTGACCAGTGAGTAACTTTCACACCACTGACCTCATGCTATATTTTATTGTGGCAACATTGCCCTCCCCAGGAGTTACCTAACCTAACCTAACCTAACCTGACCTGACCTGACCTAACCTAACCTGACCTGACCTGACCTGACCTAACCTGACCTGACCTAACCTGACCTGACCTGACCTGTTTGCCTATTTATTACTGCAAACATCTTGTTTTTTCAACACACCGGCTGTATCCCACCAAGACAGGGTGATTTAAAAAGTGAAACAGAAGTTTCTCCTTTTAGTAATTTATACAGGAGAAGAGGTTACTAGCCTCTTGCTCCCGGCATTTTAGTCGCCTCTTACAACACACACATAACTTACTAAGGGTTCTTTTCCGGCTCCTCACTTCTGCTTGAAAATTATTCATTTCCTGAATGGATCATCCCTAAATTTATAACCCCCATTGTACTTGATTAAGAAAATTCCTCGTTCCATCAGACTCGCCCTTCTTGTACATCACTTTCTTCAAGTCTTCAATATCTTTTTTACAGTTTAACCTGAACGGGTGACTGTATGTTAGCACGCAGTGACCGCTTGCCCTGAAAGTTACTCTATAATATATTTTCTCCATGTCCGCTACATTGGAAGTGAAATCAACTGTATGAAAGTTGACACTTGTTTCTATCGATTGTATGCTGTATTACAGGTGATGGTGTGTTGTATGACAGATAACACTTGTCATTGATTGATTATATACTGTATTACAGGTATGCCAAGCTGGTGTTGGAGAACTGTTACCGCGCAGACTCGCATGAGTGTCCATTTGGTCGAGCAAGCATCGAACTGACCAAACTCCTCTGTGAGATCCTGCAGGTACGTGGCAGAGATGATGGCATTGAGAGTTAGGGGAGTGGTACTGAGGAAGACAGAAATGCACAGTAGTATGTATGGATTCTTTACATGCCAAGTAAATTCAAGTCTTTGAAAAGTGTTCGTGTGTGCTGTTTGGAATCAGTTTGAGTGATTATTCTAATGTATTTTTGCCTACTGCATTTAATGCTTTTTATCTTCATAGTATGTACTTGAGAGTGATCTTGATAGACAGTTCTTAATAGATAGGTGATGGGCCAACCGAACAGGGCCAGACGTACCATCCAATGTTCTTCTCGCATGACCACGCCTTCGAAGAGTTATTCTCCATATGCATCGTGCTTCTCAACAAGACCTGGAAAGAGATGAAGGCAACCACTGAGGACTTTAGGCAAGTATTGCATTGTGTGTAATAAAAGTGAGATTACGTTTGTAGTTACAGTAGCAGAGCTGTGCAAGTATACAGGTGATACTTGTGTAGTTTACTTTTGATTTATTTAATGATTCCAATGATGGATAACTAAACCATACCCCGGCCGGGATTGAACCCGCAGTCATCGAGTCTCAGAACTCTGTGGCTAACGCGACGGGCTGGAGTTTTGAGACTCTATGACCGTGGGTTCAATCCCGGCCGGGGTATGGTTTGTTTGCAATCGTGTCATTACGATTTCGTGAGTCGTGGATAACTAAAGTGTAATGAACACTTGTAACATGCTCAATAATAACCCACAGGGGTTATTATTGTATATTTCAACCCCCTTCTGGGATCCTCTTAAGCAGAGGAGGATCCCAGAAAGGGATTGAAATATATAGGCCAATTAATCGTTAGATTTTTTGTCTGTATGTGGATTATTACTAAGCATTCCAGTGTTTTAATAGATATGAGGACAGCTACTGCTAGATTGATATGATAATTTGTAACATGTATTAGGATATCTCAGGATAAATAAAAATATGAAGTCAGATTTATGAAGGAATCCATGTCCAAAGGTTTTGTCTGCTTGCTTAGCAAGGTGCTGAGTGTGGTGCGCGACCAGATCACCCGCACGATGAACCAACAACCATCAACCCTCGACAACTTCCGCACTAAGATCAACAATCTGACCTACGCTGAGATTGCTGAGATCTGGCAGCAGGAGAGGATCAACAACGAGGAGCAGGAGATGCAGGCACCGCCCATCAAGTGAGTCGTTGATCCTAAAGATGCATCACCAACAATAGTAAAGAAAAGGTGCATGATGCATAGCAAGTTTTCATAATTTAATAAAGCTCTACACAGAGCAAGACATCGCCATAAAGAAGCTTGTTTTAACGGCAAGCGTCTCCTTTCTTCACCTTCGTAGTTACAGTAGCAGAGCTGTGCAGATGTACAGGTGATATACAGTCTTAATGACCCTCATGTAGTTTATATTTGATTAACTTGATGGTTCCAGTGATTAGTAGATATAAAGACAACTTCTGATAGATAGACATGATAATTTGTAATATATACAGTGAGTCATTCAACTTTTTCATGATTATTCTGCTGTCTGGATATGGATTACCATCTTGTTACATGACTGCATAACCAGAGCCTGTTAAATGTTCTGCACTCTGGCAGGATGTAAAATAACAAACGTTTATCTGCATTCAGCATTCACTTATCTTTACTTTCCCGTGTGTTTTTAATAGTTCTTAATCTTGTAATGCACTGCTTTGATTCCCACTGAGAAAGGCTGGGTGTGAGGCCTGGTTGCAGGGGCCATTATCCCCCACAACCATTAATCCTTAAACTGTCCAAACGTAGATCTACGTTTATGTGCGTAGCACTCCGACCTTGATTTTCTCCATTTGAAAGCGTGTAAAAAAAATAGATCTACATTCGGAGCGCTACGCATGTGAACGTAGATCTACGTTTGGACAGTTTAAGGGTTAACAGATACAATGTGTGAGTGAAGTGTTGGACAGATGACTTATTTCCAGTATTTCAGAGAACTGCGGAGACAACTGGAGCCGGAGATTTTGGAACTAATCCAGCAGCATCGTCTGAGGTTCTTGGTTGAGGGAACGAGGTTCAAGTCTGCCCGTGGTGTGGTAAGTGTCTTACACAGTCCAGCAGCATCGTCCACTTTAGAGAGGCTCTCAGATTATTAAAGGAGTGGCAGTGATGGTGAAATTCACAGGTTATGTAAATTATGATGCAAATGCACTTCTAGCAAGAGTTATTAATGAATGATTGTAAAGGTGTTTCTTTGTTTGGGTCGCTCTGTCTTATTGGTAAATAAGCCACGGGAATCTTGAATCTTTGAAGAGTTTTGAGAGTTTATCTACTCTCTGAGCCCGGCCATGGGCCAGGCTCATCTGGTGCTTGCCTGGTCAACCAGGCTGTAGCTGCTGGAGGCCTGCTGCCCCACATATCCATCACAGCCTGGTTGATCTGGTACCTGGTGAAGATACTTGTCCAGTTTCCTCTTGAAGGCTTCTACACTGGTTCCAGTAGTAGTAAACAAATTAAAATTCGCAGCAACACCTGCCATTTTGCAACATCTTTAATACGGAAATGCTAAAAATGCTCACAACGCCTGAGAGGAACAAAACATGTGAAAACCACATTTTTTTTTTTTCAACAAGTCAGCTGTTTCCCACCGAGGCAGGGTGACCCACCGAGGCAGGGTGACCCACCGAGGCAGGGTGACCCACCGAGGCAGGGTGACCCACCGAGGCAGGGTGACCCACCAAGGCAGGGTGACCCACCGAGGCAGGGCGACCCACCGAGGCAGGGCGACCCACCGAGGCAGGGCGACCCACCGAGGCAGGGCGACCCACCGAGGCAGGGCGACCCACCGAGGCAGGGTGACCCACCGAGGCAGGGTGACCCACCGAGGCAGGGTGACCCACCAAGGCAGGGTGACCCAAAAAAGAAAGAAAATCCCCAAAAAGAAAATACTTTCATCATCATTCAACACTTTCACCACACTCACACATTATCACTGTTTTTGCAGAGGTGCTCAGAATACAACAGTTTAGAAGCATATACGTATAAAGATACACAACATATCCCTCCAAACTGCCAATACTGCATATAGGGTTAAAAAAAGTGCATCTTTTTTTATTTTCAGAACAGAGGCCGTCGCCCACTGAGGTGCGTCACCTATAAAACAAACTTCAAATTTTTCTCCTTTTTACATTTAGTAATTTATACAGGAGGAGGTTACTAGCATCGGCATTTTAGTCGCCTCTTACAACAGGCATGACTTATGGAGGAAGGATTCTTCTCCACGTCCTCATGGAGCACATACGTATAATAAAGTTTACTTAGTGCCGTCAATAGGTAGAACATGAGGCTGTAAACTTGGAAAATTAGGATGAAAGTTTTTATATACCTGCAGAGATGATATTGATGATGAGGATTTTAACCCTTAAACTGTTCAAACGTAGATCTACGTTCACGTGTGTAGCACTCCGACCTTGATTTTCCCCATTTGAAAGCATGTAAAAAAAAACGTAGATCTACGTTCAGAGCGCCCCACACATGGACGTAGATCTACGTTCAGAGCGCCCCACACATGGACGTAGATCTACGTTCAGAGCGCCCCACACATGGACGTAGATCTACGTTCAGAGCGCCCCACACATGGACGTAGATCTACGTTCAGAGCGCCCCACACATGGACGTAGATCTACGTTCAGAGCGCCCCACACATGGACGTAGATCTACGTTCAGAGCGCCCCACACATGGACGTAGATCTACGTTCAGAGCGCCCCACACATGGACGTAGATCTACGTTCAGAGCGCCCCACACATGGACGTAGATCTACGTTCAGAGCGCCCCACACATGGACGTAGATCTACGTTCAGAGCGCCCCACACATGGACGTAGATCTACGTTCAGAGCGCCCCACACATGGACGTAGATCTACGTTTGGAAAGTTTAAAGGTTAATTGATGCTGGATGTTTTAGTTGGTATTGTAACATTTATTTGTGACGAGTTCTTTTATTCATGGTCATGGGGAAGCGCTAAACCCGTAGGATTACACAGCGCATGTGTGGGGGGGATGATGGAAGGCATTCAGGCTTAATTCAGGGACCTGGAACACAGATCCAATTCCCTAGATCAAGAGCCCCTCACCAGCATCAAGGAACCTCCCTTGAGGGGTTCATGGTCATAACTTTCAGTGTTAATTTTATTTTTGTATTTATTATTTTTTTTATTATCACACTGGCCGATTCCCACCAAGGCAGGGTGGCCCGAAAAAGAAAAACTTTCACCATCATTCACTCCATCACTGTCTTGCCAGAAGGTGCTTTACACTACAGTTTTTAAACTGCAACATTAACACCACCACATTAATTTTTATATGTTGTTTGTATTTTTCATCGGTACAAGAATAACAGTATTTATGTTTTTGCAAAGGTTACGATGTGTGTTTCTGGTTCCCTGAACTGTGCCTGAATACCTTCCATTCCCCCCCCCCCCACACACACATGCGCTGTATAATCCTATGGGTTTAGCGCTCCCCCATAATTATAATAATACAATGTCTGTTTACATTTCATAATTTGATTGGTACAAAGAAAGCTGCTGTCATACCGAGGCATTTCGAGCAGACTTAACATAATACTTAAAGACTACTTAAGTCTAGACAAATTTCAGATATTCAATATTTTACTCAATTATTAATATGAGGTGGTACAATTTGTGATACAAACATACATTGGCCTCTCATTCTTGAGGCCTACACAACTGGCCTCTCATTCCTGAGGCCTACACAACTGGCCTCTCATTCCTGAGACCTACACAACTGGCCTCTCATTCTTGAGGCCTACACAACTGGCCTCTCATTCCTGAGGCCTACACAACTGGCCTCTCATTCCTGAGGCCTACACAACTGGCCTCTTATTCCTGAGGCCTACACAACTGGCCTCTCATTCCTGAGGCCTACACAACTCCTATGAGTTAAGGCTTTTCCTGTGAGTATAATTAATCAGTTTCAAATTTACAGAGGGCCAAGGACAAGTTCCGTTACTGCCGACTGTCTCCCAACCACAAGTTTTTTCACTATGACGACTGCGATGAAAAGGCTGTGCCAACTATAGATGAACTAAGCAAGAAAATCAGCATTGTGGACATCAAGAGTATTGTAACTGGCAAGGAATGTCCTCACATGAAGGACAAAACTGGGCAAGTATCATATATGTGTGTGTCTGGATTATACAGGTTGGATCCATTTTACGACGGTTAAGTTCCAGCAAAACAGGGTCATAAAATGAAATACAACAAAATCAAATTATAATGTAATTAAACGAGTCCAAACATACGTATATTGCGTGTTTGGACTCACAGGTGTTGCTGTCTTACTGAGTTGCAATTTTTTTTTATTTTCAATTTTTTCAAATTTTTTACTCTACTTTTCAAATTCAAATTCAAAGTTTATTCTCTATAAGGATTACAATGCTGAGTTTACAGAATTTGGTTATTGTGTGGTTTACATGTAGTAAAATAATAATTACAGAGTGTACCACTAGAACACCTAGCATGGCTAGGCATTTCGGGCAGACTTAGACAAGGTTAGACAGACTTTGACAAGGTTGTTAACGTGAACAGTCATAAAATGAACCATTGTAAGGCGACCTACCTGTAGTCCGCTTTGTTTTGCAAGGAGATGATTGGGTGTTAGATCAAGCATGGTGTGTGAGTGTATTAGATAGGAGTGAATGGAGACGAATGGTTTTTGGGACCCAACGAGCTGTTGGAGTGTGAGCAGGGTAGTATTTTGTGAAGAGATTCAAGAATGCCTGCACTTTAAAGGAGGCGTTTGGGATATTGGCTACTTAGAGGGTCATCTAAGTTGTCGTATCCGGGAACCTCTGCAAAGACAGTGTTTGTGTGAATGATGGTGAAAGTGTTTTTCTTTTTTGGATCACCTGCCTGGGTGGGAGATGCCGATGTGTTGAAAATAAAAAATATAAATGATATACAGTATTAAAAAGAAAGTTGATTATTATTATAATCATGGGGGAGTACTAAACCCGTGGGATTATACAGCGCATGTGGGGGGATGGAAGGTATTCAGGCTCAATTTAGGGAACTGGAGCACAGATCCAATTCCCCAGATCAAGAGCCCCTCACCAGCATCAAGGAACCTCCCTTGAGGAGAAAAGAAGATTGAATCTTTGCGAGTTATTTATCGTTATAGTCAGTAGACTTTTGTATTAGGATGTGTAGCATTAATTACATTTTTTTTACTTTTGTAGAAAGAAGAATACATACCAGTTGTCTTTCTCGCTCATTTTGGAAAGCAACAACGTCAATGAGACTAACAGCGTAGACTTTGTCGCACCCGACGAGACGGTCTTCAGCTACTGGGTGGATGGCGTCAATGCACTTCTGCGTGAGTCTCTCTCTTTTTTTATCCTCAAGGTCTAAAAGGGTAAATAAAACAAAATACTGTAGTATGTGTGGGTGTTCTGCATCCCAAACTGAAGGCAGGTGTAGAATGAATTTTATTTTGGCAATATTTCTGTTTAGAGTTTTATTAAATTGACGAGTCGATAAACTTTGCAAAGAGCTTAATAGAGTGAGGACCAAGTCTACCATTTCTTGCTCGGACTGACCCGCAGTAGTTCACCAATACAGTGGACCCCTGGTTTACGATATTATTTTATTCCAGAAGTATGTTCAGGTGCCAGTACTGACTGAATTTGTTCCCATAAGGAATATTGTGAATTAGATTAGTCCATTTCAGACCCCCAAACATACACGTACAAACGCACTTACATAAATACACTTACATAATTGGTCGCATTGGGAGCTGATCGTAAAGTGGGGATCCACTGTATAAGAAACAATTTCCATTACAGTCGGCAGCACATCTTTGTATCCCTTGAATGTTGTTTCGAGTTTGCGTAATTCATTTTGTAAAATAGTAAATCCCAAGTGGATATAAAGCGCAAAATAACATTCTGTATATATCAGCCTCAGTCAATAGAAACTTTCAGTAAAACCTCAAAGTCGCTATTTTAAACCAAACACAAGGTTAGAAGCTTATTTTTTCCATCAGGGGCAACAATTTTTATAATTGTTCACTCGTGTCTAGGCTCAAAATGTTGCTATACGTAACTCTGGCATTAATGACATATCTGGGGGTAAGACAATTAAAGAGTTAAACCTGCATGTCACCTGTGCACCACCAGTCAAGAATACTTTATAATACTTAAACGAAAAAGCATATATCACAATATATATGCACTTTACAGTGTACATATTACACTGCTGCTCTGTATATACAAAGTGATGTAGGCAAACAGTTTTTTTTTCTCATTTTTTTCATGCAAGTCAATGGTACTTACCATCTCACTGATCATCGTGTATTTAACCGATATTATGAGCGGTAACGCTGTATAGCCCTTGTGGCTTAGCGCTTCTTTTTGATTATAATAATAATATGAGCGGTAACCCTCAACATTCTCACTTCCATCCAGCATCAGACTTGCCTCTCCATATATATCACTTTTAAAATGAATACTGTACCACCTAATTTGTATGTTATATCCAGTCATGTCTCCTTGTTCTAGTATCTTTGCCAGTTTTAAACTTATTAACCCTATCTGTGCTCTATAGTATTTTATGGCCATTATATTTCCTTGTTATGCCTCTGCTGTGGCAATGATCTGTCAAACTGTTGTCAGTTCTGGGAGACCATCACCCCTGAAGTCTGGTCCCAGAACAGGCAGCTTGATCACATACTAAATTGAACTCCGTCAAGTTTCCATTTGAAGACAGCTAGTTCATCTGTTTGTAATTCTTGTATATGAAGGGTGTTGAAAACCCTTAACACTTGACGAATTATCCCTTAAAGAGCACGTAAATACCTGTCTTCTAATAACGTCATTTTCCACTACAATCTACTTTGTCTGTTTCATAAGGTGAAGTCGAGGATCTTTCCTTAATTCATGGTATAACTTAACTAATCTTTGATGACAGGTAGATTATAGGGATAAATGAAGATGTTATTAGAAGATGGTTATACTTAAGTGCCCCTTAATGTATTCATTGCACCTCTGTTGTTTTAATGTTAGTAGTGCATTGCGGTGCAGCATCTTACCATAACCTTTGTTGCAGGTCAACGGATGCCAAGTCTTGCCACAACCCGGGACGTGGAGATGCTCCTGAACATGGAGATAAAGCTGAGACTGTTGGATGCTGAAGGAGTCATGATACCCCAGCAGCAACCCATGATACCACCACCACCACCCAACTACAACTTCTGCTACCAGCTGCCATGAGGGAGCAAACCCTCTCTGGCTGTGGTGGATTTTACGTGCCACTCCAGGTCAGGCAGTCAAATGTGCAAGAGCAAGTATATATCATTTTACTTTTGTTGGTAATGTGCAATTGACAGCCTTCAAAAACACTTGACCAGGAAAACTAGTTTGGCCTCAGACTGGACTTGAACTCTTATAAAGCACCGGGGAAATGGGAAGAAATTAGGCTTGATTCAAGGGAGTTGCTCCAGTTCTTTGGATCAGGAATTCCTCTCTGATGAAGCCTGATTAAAACCATGATCCATAGTTCATCAAGGTGTCTTGTGTCAGTGAGGGGCTCTTGATCCAAGGAACTGCCATTATCCTTCCTCTCCTTAGATCAAACTCTAACAACTCACATTCCCCAGGTTTACTGTGACCCCTGCAGGTTTAGCACCTCTCTTAAGCTACAAGTGCCCCATATTACATCCACACACTTTTACAGCTGCCAAGCTAAAGTGTGACTATTTCTATACTTGTGAAATGCTAAACCCATAGATGTTGTACAGTGTCTGGGAAATGGGAGGCACTTGAGTTCAATCCAAGATGAATCCGGTTATTTGACCCGAGATCATCAGGGCATCTCCCTTGAGGGAGACTTGCTATAAACGTGTAAAACATTAAGTTTAGTATGACCGAGTGCAACCTATTGGTATAACATTTCACCACAAATTAATCAAGCAGCAGTCACATTGTTTGTAGTGTACACAGATAACCTGCACATAGAGAGCTTATGATAATGTTTCGATCTGACTTTAACCATTTACAAAGTCACATTATAACAGGAAGGAGAGAAGTAGACAGTATATACAGGCCAGCTGACAGGGACAGGACAAGAGAGGTGGTAGGAAAGGAAGTGGAGTCAAACACCATGAAAGAGGAGCACTGCAGGAGAGCTCAGGGCCCACAAGGGGTAAGAACGGAAACACAGGGAGGGGGGAAGGACCAAACACCCAAGGCAGAAAGTTAACCCAATGAAGGAATAGGAAAAAAAGGGAGAGGGGAAGTAGAGAATTTTTTTTCTCCCTTCATTTTTTTTCCTATTCCTTCTTTTGGGTTTCCTTTCTTCTGCCTTGGGTGTCTGGTCCTTTATTTCCCCTCCTCCTATTTTTATTCTTGCCCCTTGTGGGCCCTTAGCTCTCCTGCAGTGCTCCTTTCTTGGTGTTTGACTGACTCCACTACCATTACCTCTCTACTGCCTCTCTTGTTCCGTCTCTGTCTGCTGGCCTATATGTACTGCCTCCTCTCTTTTGTTAGTGCAACAGACTGAAACGTCGTTGTAAGCTCCTCTCTCCTGTGTGTGTCGTTCCAGTTGCGGTATTGTGCCTTTTTGTTATTTGAAGTACCTCCAGGCCAGGTGATTGGGTGCCAAGTAGGCGAGGCTAGAGCAGCAATTCAACAGATCTAGCAGCCTATACTAGGTTTGTTTCTGTATTCTAATGTGAGAGCTGCGAGTTTTGACAGCGAACATACCACCGTTTTGATGATGGTAAAAAGACAACAAACGGGGACTTTATTTAGTACATTTCACCTACACTAGGCATAATAAAGTGCATACATTAGCTAAGGTGACATCAAAATAAGTTAAGATAACATTGCTGAGTTACTAATGTTTCAGAATAGTAATGATTGCTAAAATATATCGTCTCTACAACCATCACAGAACAGATGCCAGGTATAATTACCCTCAGCGTGCTTTTAGTCTGAGATGCATTTCGTGTTGTCCATCCTGATGGCACAAGTGTTCTTGTGAATGGGTATGCAAGTTCCTCGATGTATCTGTGTACACAACCACAACTCCCACACGAGATATTGCACATCACTGCAGTGACCAATTTCTTTTATATTTTTTGTGGCAAGCACAGCTACTCTGGTGTTATCTGTATGTAGAATAAGTGAGATTGAAGTAGCTGGACTTGCCACAAAACCTATAAGAGAAATTACTAAAACAGTCACTGCAGAGATATATAGTATTTCACGTGGGTGTTGCTATCATATGTACATAGGAGTAACATCGAGGAACTTTCATAACCGACTACAATTATTATTATAATCAAAAAGAAGCGTTAAACCATAACCGACTACAAGAATACAGACATTCCAGCAGGATGGTCAACACATGAAATGCTTGTGTGGTACACAATGACCTCCAGACAATGTAAGGTTGTCTTGAATCAGCCGCTATATTTGTTTACAACCACCACAGAGAACAGAGGCAGATAGTTTTAGCGACTGGTTTTGCTAAAATGTATGGAAAAAAATTACTAGAAGCTTAGCATGTGATTCAGGCCACTTACAATGTTACCAGACTCCACTTCTCAACACTAGATGTGCATCACAAGATTTGACACTTTACACCTCATTAAGCCTCGTGTAGTGAAACATACTAAATCAAAGTCCCCCTTTGCTGTCTTTTTACCACGGTCAAAACGGTGGTATGCTTGCTCTGTCAACACTCGCAGCTCCAACTGTACGACAAGAAACCTAGCGTACGCTGGCATTATAATAATTATGCAAAACAACCACTCTGAAAGAATAGAGAAATTCCAAGCGCTTTCGTGACTACTCACATTATCAAGGAACTATCATAGTTCCTTGATAGTGTGAGTAGTCACGAAAGCGTTTGGAATTTCTCTATTCTTTCAGAGTGGTTGTTTTGCATATTCTGAAATCACCTGTTTACTGTGATCTTATTGCTATAATAATTATAAGCATACGCTGGTAGATCTGTTGCAGTATTTCCTTGGTTCTCTAACTTCATGCACTCCACACAGCCTCACCTGGATGTTGTACACACAATCCAACTTTATTATACTTCGAATGCTTCCAGTAATTTGGGGTGAAATATTACACCAATACTCTGCAAGTTTTATCATACAGTTGGTGCTTTACCATCTCTGTAAAACATTTATATTTAAGAACCAGTATGTGTCGTATATTTTAATATTTAACATTTTGATTTTAACTACAGTATTAATAGTTTAGAAGCAAGATTTTAATCTTTTTTATGTAATAGTGTAAAATAAAATATTAATTTATGCTTTATATATTTATACTTTTTCTTAGAAGTTTAACCATAGAAGTCAAGTGTCTTAATGGGAGGATCAAGAATTCCTCAAGTCACAGAATTAACTAATGTACTAAAACTCACCCAAGACACTACCTGGTGTGCAGCGCCAGGATCATCTGAACAAGGCCGAGCAAAACTTACCCGTTTAGACAACTGCATTATCTATCAGCCATTAATGGTGGTGGAAGTGACAATGTTGGGTTATATACTATTACCAGTAGAGAGGTCCAGATAGATGGTCAACTCAAGTTTCACCATTATTATTATAATAAAGAAGCGCTAAGCCATCAAGTTTCACCAAACATTAAATTTTCAGTGAGGAACTGCTGTATAGCCCTTGTGGCTTAGTGCTTTTTGATTATAATAATCCAGTGGGGAAGAACCCAACCACTAGCAAATTTAGAACTTGACAAAGAAATTGTTGTGTAGTAACTAGCTTTTTTAAAACTGGAAATATTCCATTACTGAAGCAAAAGGAGAAAAGGGCCATTACTTCACTGATGGGATTATCATCGTCCCCTCAGTCACACTGCTCCTGGGAAAATTAAGCATTCCAATTCTCTTAGAGTTCAATTCCTCTTATAGAATCTCTCACTGGCACCAAGTTACTTTTTACAGCACAATGACCCATGCAAGTTTGTAGTTAGTTTTGTCGTCTAACAGCATAGAACTACCTACTATGAAGGCACGTTTTTCTCAATTGTGGGTCTACTAATTTCCATATAAAGCACTAAACCCAAGACTAGAAAGTTACCCAGAGTATTAATACTGCCGTTGTCCACACTACACTGGAAGAGGCCGACTTGGAATTTCTAAAAGTTCAAGTATGAAAAACAATTTAAAAGTATTTTCAGTAACTAAAACTACACAAAGATAAAGAAACTAACAAAAATTCAACTAGTCACCAGTTTATTTAAATTACAAACTTAGGTTAAGCCAGCAAGTTCCAACTGGACTTTTTTCCAAGTCAATAAAGGTCCATGTTCAGGACGGTACTGGACATTAACCCCATCAGGGAAGAGGCGACCACTTGCCATCAGTTCCTCGTACTCGTCCCTGTTGAACTTGGTGAAGCCCCACTTACGGGACACGTAGATCTGCAAGTAAATTGGCAGTTTAGTACAAGTGCGGTAATTATTATTATTATAATCAAAAAGAAGCGCTAAGCCACAAGGGCTATACAGCACAAGTGCGGTAAACACTGGTCAATGGTACAACCTAGTCTGCATGAAGACAATCTCATATTCAATTGCATCAGTGATAAAACACACCTAAAGTACTAACTTGCATGGAGATGTGTGAACAGTCTCGTACTTAATTATAGTATACATTTAACACTGGTTAATAACAAAAAGGCACAATACCGTGACTGGAACAATACACAAATAACCCGCACATAAAAGAGAAGCTTACGACGACGTTTCGGTCCGACTTGGACCATTGACAGTGTGACACTTTGTCAATGGTCCAAGTCGGACCGAAACGTCGTCGTAAGCTTCTCTCTTTTATGTGCGGGTTATTTGTGTATTTAACACTGGTTAATGGTATAAAGCTCACATGGGAAAAAATCATCCAAGCTAATGACCATTTATATCAAAGTACAGTACAAGAGGGTAATAATGATCAATGGCAGAAAAAAAAATCTACATCGGAGGCCAAAAAAGAGACTGCACTGAGAAAAAAGTTGGCAAATTTAAAATACAGTACTACAAAATTTTAGGGATTATTTCCACTGAGGAGAATCCTGGTGTGACTTGTTCAGAACTTAATTATTTGCAGGTGGGTTCTTTTGTACCTTTTAGGGTTAGCAAGTGATGTTATAGGGTGAGCATTAGGTATACTGCCGGTCAAGATTGTGCTAGTGGTATTTGCAAGTGTAAGATACAAAATCATTTTTCAAGAGCAGTATACTGGTACAGTGGACTCCCGCTTTACGATCAGCTCCCAATGTGACCAATTATGCAAGTGTATTTGTACGTGTATGTTTGGGGGTCTGAAATGGACTAATGTAATTCACAATACTCCTTATGGGAACAAATTTGTTCAGTAATGGTACCTGAACATACTTCTGGAATGAAATAATATCGTAAGGCGGGGGTCCACTGTATTTGGTTGACCAACTGCCATGGTAACCTACTATGCTAGGTCAGTGCCAACAAGTTCTATAACTGTTACAAAACAGTACCATAGTAAATAAACCAACACTATGCTGAATCCTGCCCTTTAACTGGACCAATAATAAAATATCAATCCAAAACAAGTTTAAATAACTTACAGAGTATGAGCAACATTGGCTGCTTTACAATAGTCTTGTTCAGGTCTTATAGTCTACAAGAAACAGGTGTGAAAGGTACTCCCAATGACAACTTTTAAACACCTCCAATTTAAGGGGATTTCCAACAAAGCCTCACTGATCATACTGATGATCAGAAAGACGGTTCATGGAACATTCTTCAGGGGCAATGACTCTGGGAATGGAAGAGTGTACTAAAAGGTGTCATTTGACGGAAGCTATTATGGACGAGGGACTTAAAGTTTGGTAGGCAGTTTAGCAGTAACTCAAGCTAAGGTTAATTAATACTTAAGTAGCAACGAAAGTTTCAATTTACTGTGCTATTTAACCTAAAGTTAATGATAATTGGTAAAGAAATTACCAAGTACCAATCACAGTCAAAACTAGCCCACAATTACACAAAGTAACATGGTTAAAATATCCTTCATTAAACTTCAAACATTTACTACAGCTGACAAATTTTTTTATTATCACACTGGCCGATTCCCACCAAGGCAGGGTGGTCCACCAAGGCAGGGTGGTCCACCAAGGCAGGGTGGTCCACCAAGGCAGGGTGGTCCACCAAGGCAGGGTGGTCCACCAAGGCAGGGTGGTCCACCAAGGCAGGGTGGTCCACCAAGGCAGGGTGGTCCACCAAGGCAGGGTGGTCCACCAAGGCAGGGTGGTCCACCAAGGCAGGGTGGTCCACCAAGGCAGGGTGGTCCACCAAGGCAGGGTGGTCCACCAAGGCAGGGTGGTCCACCAAGGCAGGGTGGCCCACCAAGGCAGGGTGGCCCACCAACGCAGGGTGGCCCACCAACGCAGGGTGGTCCACCAAGGCAGGGTGGCCCGAAAAAGAAAAACTTTCACCATCATTCACTCCATCACTGTCTTGCCAGAAGGGTGCTTTACACTACAGTTTTTAAACTGCAACATTAACACCCCTCCTTCAGAGTGCAGACACTGTACTTCCCATCTCCAGGACTCAAGTCCGGCCTGCCGGTTTCCCTGAACCCCTTCATAAATGTTACTTGGCTCACACTCCAACAGCACGTCAAGTATTAAAAACCATTTGTCTCCATTCACTCCTATCAAACACGCTCACGCATGCCTGCTGGAAGTCCAAGCCCCTCGCACACAAAACCTCCTTTACCCCCTCCCTCCAACCTTTCCTAGGCCGACCCCTACCCCGCCTTCCTTCCACTACAGACTGATACACTCTTGAAGTTATTCTGTTTCGCTCCATTCTCTCCACATGTCCGAACCACCTCAACAACCCTTCCTCAGCCCTCTGGACAACAGTTTTGGTAATCCCGCACCTCCTCCTAACTTCCAAACTACGAATTCTCTGCATTATATTCACACCACACATTGCCCTCAGACATGACATCTCCACTGCCTCCAGCCTTCTCCTCGCTGCAACATTCATCACCCATGCTTCACACCCATATAAGAGCGTTGGTAAAACTATACTCTCATACATTCCCCTCTTTGCCTCCAAGGACAAAGTTCTTTGTCTCCACAGACTCCTAAGTGCACCACTCACCCTTTTCCCCTCATCAATTCTATGATTCACCTCATCTTTCATAGACCCATCCGCTGACACGTCCACTCCCAAATATCTGAATACATTCACCTCCTCCATACTCTCTCCCTCCAATCTTTCATCACCTAATCTTTTTATCCTCATAACCTTACTCTTTCCTGTATTCACTTTCAATTTTCTTTTGCACACCCTACCAAATTCATCCACCAATCTCTGCAACTTTTCAGAATCTCCCAAGAGCACAGTGTCATCAGCAAAGAGCAGCTGTGACAACTCCCACTTTATGTGCGATTCTTTATCTTTTAACTCCACGCCTCTTGCCAAGACCCTTGCATTTACTTCTCTTACAACCCCATCTATAAATATATTAAACAACCACGGTGACATCACATATCCTTGTCTAAGGCCTACTTTTACTGGGAAAAAATTTCCCTCTTTCCTACATACTCTAACTTGAGCCTCACTATCCTCGTAAAAACTCTTCACTGCTTTCAGTAACCTACCTCCTACACCATACACTTGCAACATCTGCCACATTGCCCCCTATCCACCCTGTCATACGCCTTTTCCAAATCCATAAATGCCACAAAGACCTCTTTAGCCTTATCTAAATACTGTTCACTTATATGTTTCACTGTAAACACCTGGTCCACACACCCCCTACCTTTCCTAAAGCCTCCTTGTTCATCTGCTATCCTATTCTCAGTCTTACTCTTTAATTCTTTCAATAATAACTCTACCATACACTTTACCAGGTATACTCAACAGACTTATCCCCCTGTAATTTTTGCACTCTCTTTTATCCCCTTTGCCTTTATACAAAGGAACTATGCATGCTCTCTGCCAATCCCTAGGTACCTTACCCTCTTCCATACATTTATTAAATAATTGCACCAACCACTCCAAAACTATATCCCCACCTGCTTTTAACATTTCTATCTTTATCCCATCAATCCCGGCTGCCTTACCCCCTTTCATTTTACCTACTGCCTCATGAACTTCCCCCACACTCACAACTGGCTCTTCCTCACTCCTACAAGTTGTTGTTCCTCCTTGCCCTTTACACGAAATCACAGCTTCCCTATCTTCATCAACATTTAACAATTCCTCAAAATATTCCCTCCATCTTCCCAATACCTGTAACTCTCCATTTAATAACTCTCCTCTCCTATTTTTAACTGACAAATCCATTTGTTCTCTAGGCTTCCTTAACTTGTTAATCTCACTCCAAAACTTTTTCTTATTTTCAACAAAATTTGTTGATAACATCTCACCCACTCTCTCATTTGCTCTCTTTTTACATTGCTTCACCACTCTCTTAACCTCTCTCTTTTTGTCCATATACTCTTCCCTCCTTGCATCACTTCTACTTTGTAAAAACTTCTCATATGCTAACTTTTTCTCCCTTACTACTCTCTTCACATCATCATTCCACCAATCGCTCCTCTTCCCTCCCGCACCCACTTTCCTGTAACCACAAACTTCTGCTGAACACTAACACTACATTTTTAAACCTACCCCATACCTCTTCGACCCCATTGCCTATGCTCTCATTAGCCCATCTATCCTCCAATAGCTGTTTATATCTTACCCTAACTGCCTCCTCTTTTAGTTTATAAACCTTCACCTCTCTCTTCCCTGATGCTTCTATTCTCCTTGTATCCCATCTACCTTTTACTCTCAGTGTAGCTACAACTAGAAAGTGATCTGATATATCTGTGGCCCCTCGATAAACATGTACATCCTGAAGTCTACTCAACAGTCTTTTATCTACCAATACATAATCCAACAAACTACTGTCATTTCGCCCTACATCATATCTTGTATACTTATTTATCCTCTTTTTCTTAAAATATGTATTACCTATAACAAAAATGACGAATTTAAATATACTCCACTGACGACAGAATACATACAAGGCAGGAGCTCCTGCAAGCATGTGGACAGTGTAAACACTTCCATCTACAGAAAAGTCTTAATTACTGTGGAAATCAAGATTCTGAGGTAATTTAATGTAGTTATAAATGTTCCAAATGTTTCCTTAGGCTCAGCCTATAAGGAAGGATGAGCCTTACACCAAATTGGCTTCATTGTGCCCACCATTTACCACATTACAGACAAATGTTCTACAATGTCGGCTTAATAAGTGGGGTACTAATACGTACTGACTTAACGCATTTTTCATCTTTTACTATGGCAGGAACAATTTCCAACTAGCCTATAAATCATACAAAGGTAACTGAACTAGATTTTAACCTGTAAACGGTCCAAGCAGATCTACGTTCACACGTGTAGTGCTACAAAAGTAATTACGTTTATTTTTTACATATTTTCAAATGTTGAAAAAACGTATATATACATTTGGACTGTTTACGGGTTAATAACCTGGACCATTAGTAAATCAAGTGAGAGAGCAAGACTATTCCTGGATTCATCATGTGCCTCTATTTGATAACTACCCCCAGGATGGGTGACTCGTACATCGAAGCTATTTTAACTGGCTAAGCCATTCATGCACTTAGTCATAAGTCTGCCTATGTTACTCAAATATAGACACTATGTATTGTGCCAAAACAAAAGCATTCACATTGCTAAACTCAAAATTATGATGTAGTCACTTAGCCTTAATACTATAATCTAGCTATGCTAGGTGTCCTAGTTGCCTCCTCTGTTATTACTATTTTATAACTTTTTTGTTTTTTCAACAAGTCGGCCGTCTCCCATCGAGGCAGGGCGACCCACCGAGGCAGGGCGACCCAAAAAAGAAAGAAAATACTTTCATCATCATTCAACACTTTCACCACACTCGCACATTATCACTGTTTTTGCAGAGGTGCCCAGAATACAACAGTTTAGAAGCATACACAACAAAGATACACAACATATCCCTCCAAACTGCTAATATCCCAAACCCCTCCTTTAAAGTGCAGGCATTGTACTTCCCATTTCCAGGACTCAAGTCCGACTATATGAAAATAACCAGTTTCCCTGAATCCCTTCACTAAATATTACCCTGCTCACACTCCAACAGATCGTCAGGTCCCAAGCACCATTCGTCTCCATTCACTCCTATCTAACACACTCACGCCCTTCGCCCACAAAACCTCCTTTACCCTCTCTCTCCAACACTTTCGAGGACGACCCCTACCCCGCCTTCCTTCCCCTATAGATTTATATGCTTTCCACGTCATTCTACTTCGATCCATTCTCTCTAAATGACCAAACCACCTCAACAACCCTCTTCTGCCCTCTGACTAATGCTTTTATTAACTCCACACCCTCCTAATTTCCACACTCCGAATTTTCTGCACAACATTTACACCACACATTGCCCTTAAACAGGACTTAATGTTAAGAATTAATCTAAGTCTGCTCAAAATGCCTAGCCATGCTAGGTGTCCTAGTGGCCCCCTCTATAATTAGTATTTTATAACAAGTAAACAACAAAATACCCAAAACCTGTAAACCCCACATTGTAACCATTATAGAGAATAAACTTGAATTGAATTGACTAATACTAAATGGCAAGTATCCATAGAAAGAAAACTAAAGCCATGATTCAAGTTGAAGTTACAAGGGCCAATTGAACAAGAGCCTTCAAGTAAAACATTATATTCCAAAAAAACTTGTCTTCCCTTCATCAACTTCGTCTTGATAAATGGCCCATAAACACATCTCCTGCATAAATGGCAGCTCTGACTTACTAGAAGTTTGTCCCTTCTTAAAATACTTTTATTTCTTAAATAAGATACCTTCATCAGCATCACTGTGAACCACTTAAGGACTGTGGAGATTTTACAAGTATTTTATGACCATTCTAAAATAGTTCAGAAATATTTGCTTAATAAAACAATTTTAAAAACTCTAAAAGTATAGACATACCCAAGATCAAAAGAACTATGAACAATTACTTAAAATTCTACCTATTACAGTGGAACCTCAAATATCGAACTTTCTTTGTTCCAGACGGCTGTTCGAGTGCCATTACCAAATGAATTTATTCCCATCAGGAATAATGTAAATTAGATTAGTTCATTTCAGACCCTCAAATATATACTTATAAAAGCACTTACAAAAATACACTTACATAATTGGTCGAGTTAGGAGCAGTTCGATATTTGAGGTTCCACTGTATATTCAAACTATCTTCCTTATATATAATTAATACCATTGTAATACAAATTCCTACTTAATCCTTAACTATAATTATCAAGTTTCCACTGCCCTGATGAGAGGTCCTCAACCTGTGGACCGTCTAGGAAATGGATGCAGCCCTCACGTGAAATAATGAATATAGTTATGTAGGCTTCACACTACAGTGAATCGTGTGGCCCTCATCACGCATCTGACCGAGTGTTTCAGACTTGCGTATGAAGGTGGAGAATCACTGGTATAGAGCACCACAGACTATAACATAGTATTATACAGTGGACCCCCAGCTTACGATATTTCATTCCAGAAGTATGTTCAGGTGCCATTACTGACCGAATTTGTTCCCATAAGGAATATTGTGAATTAGAGTAGTCTATTTCAGACCCCCAAACATACACGTACAAATGCACTTACATAAATACACTTACATAATTGGTTGCACTGGGAGCTGATTGTAAACCGGGGGTCCACTGTACAGTGCCTGGGCGGAGGGGATGTGCAAGACATTCAGGCTTAATTCAGGAAATTGGAGCACAGATCCAATTACCTAGATCAAGGGCCCCTCACCAGCATCAAGGAACCTTCCTTGAGGGGAGTGTGACATACTCACTTTCTGGCGGCCAGGGTACTTGAACTTCGCACGTCTGAGAGCTTCAATTACATGCACTTTGTGACGGTCATGGGTCCGTACAGACATGATGGGCTGACCGATCTGCACACGAGCTACAGTACCCTGAGGTTTGCCGAAGGCACCACGCATGCCGGTCTGCAACCTGCAAGTAACAACGTGTGAGAATAACACTACAAGAAGGAAGTTTTTCGATGTGGGTGATTTGACCTGGTATTTAACCCCTTTATCAGCAAAATTGGATACAAAAAATTCAAAATCGAAGGTAATATTAAGTACTAGTGTGAACTAACAATACACACCAGACAAGTTATCAGTTTAAAATTATACCACCGGTACAGAAAAAATGGAAATTTCAGGACTGGTTATAAGTTCTCAAAAGTCACGACAGGAATCTCAGTAATTATAAAAGAAAATCAAAAAGGCATGAGCAATGGTCAAAAAGCAGAAAAAAGCAGCATGCCACCAGTAAGTGGCAAGAAAATTTCTAGTATCAAACTTTTATAGACTAAAATATTCCATAGCTTCAGTTTCATAAATTTCAGAATAGGAAGAATCCTTACCTATCAGCACCGGCACACGACAACATTTTGTTGATGCGGATGACATGGAATGGGTGGAGTCGAACACGGACGTGGAACTGATCCTTGCCACAGTTCTTTACTAGGTACTGAAAGTTTGAATAATAAGATAAATAATGTATACCGACCATCTCTCACCAAACTAAGCTATACATGGGCATGAAGTACACCTACCATCCGACTTACGACCGAGTTCGGTTCCAAGAAACCGGTCGTAAGTCGAAATGGTCGTAAGTCGAACTTTACTACTGAATATCAACATAACATTGCAAAGGTTAGTGGATGAGTTTGAGAATGTGTGTAAAGGTAGAAAGTTGAAAGTGAACATAGAAAAGAGTAAGGTGATGAGGGTATCAAATGATTTAGATAAAGAAAAATTGGATAGCAAATTGGGGAGGAGGAGTATGGAAGAAGTGAATGTTTTCAGATACTTGGGAGTTGACGTGTCGGCGGATGGATTGATGAAGGATGAGGTTAATCATAGAATTGATAGGGGAAAAAAGGCGAGTGGTGCGTTGAGGTATATGTGGAGTCAAAAAACGTTATCTATGGAGGCAAAGAAGGGAATGTATGAAAGTATAATAGTACCAACACTCTTATATGGATGTGAAGCTTGGGTGGTAAATGCAAAGCGAGGAGGCGGTTGGAGGCAGTGGAGATGTCCTGTAAGGGCAATGTGTGGTGTAAATATTATGCAGAAAATTCGGAGTGTGGAAATTAGGAGAAGGTGTGGAGTTAATAAAAGCATTAGTCAGAGGGCAGAAGAAGGGTTGTTGAGGTGGTTTGGTCATTTAGGAGAGAATGGATCAAAGTAGAATGACATGGAAAGCATATAAATCTATAGGGGAAGGAAGGCGGGGTAGGGGTCGTCCTCGAAAGGGTTGGAAAGAGGGGGTAAAGGAGGTTTTGTGGGCGAGGGGCTTGGACTTCCAGTAAGCGTGCATGAGCGTGTTAGATAGGAGTGAATGGAGACGAATGATACTTGGGACCTGACGATCTGTTGGAGTGTGAACAGGGTAATATTTAGTGAAGGGATTCAGGGAAACCGGTTATTTTCATATAGTCGGACTTGAGTCCTGGAAATGGGAAGTACAATGCCTGCACTTTAAAGGAGTGGTTTGGGATATTGGCAGTTTGGAGGGATATGTTGTGTATCTTTATACGTATATACTTCTAAACTGTTGTATTCTGAGCACCTCTGCAAAAGCAGTGATAATGTGTGAGTGTGGTGAAAGTGTTGAATGATGAAAGTATTTTCTTTTTGGGTCACCCTGCCTCGGTGGGAGACGACCGACTTGTTGGAAAAAAAAAAAAAAAAAAAAAGTTTAACACAAACCTTGATGAAAACACTACCATGGTAGCGACTGCTCCTGTTTTCCCACTACTACACATTTCCTAAAATACAAATTTCCATTTCCAGAAAATCCAAACGTAGATCTACGTTTGCACGCGTAGCACTCCGAATGTAGATATACTTTTTTTTTTACATAATGTAAAATAGAACGTAGATCTACGCTCGAAGCGCTACACATGCGAACATAGATCTATGTTTGGACAGTTTAAGGGCTAAAATAGTGTAATAAATGCATGCAAGATTAAGTGAAGAATATAAGGGGAAAAATAGCGACTCATTAGACCCTCCAAAAAATCAACCAAATTTGTTGTAGGTCTCGAAATTGTAAATAATAATGTAATTGTATATGGATGCAACGAGTTAGATTTAATAAAATACTTACAGCGTCATCACGGTTGTACAGTCATTAAGATGAAATTAAGTGGTTCACCTGTCTTGGTTTCCCGCTGAATCGAATCACTCATCTTTAGTGTTATTTCTGTCGTTCACCTGAGTCGTGCACACAGATGCATCTTTCATACTATAAGCTCGGGGTGTCTCCGTCACTTACCTTGTTTGCACAGATGCGACCCGCCTCTAGAGCTTCAGAAGAGAGTTGTTCATATTCGTCAGAAACCAGGTGTACGCACAGCGGTAATTCACGTACGTCGGCCTTCTTCCTGCCCAAGTCAAATATACGAATCTTTGGGTCGGGCACACCACGACAGAACCGCGACTTGGGATACGGTTTATTCTTGCAGTAGCGATAACTGAAAGAAACGTTAGAGTGCTAAAATACAAGAGGTAAATTTACCGGCAAACTAAACGTGCAAAGAATTGTTAAAAGAAACGTTAATCTATTACGACCATAATTTTTAAAGGGGTAGTAAGCCAGTACAAGGTCTCAGTCAGATGACCAAAAGCTCCAGCTGTGGGTCATGTGACTGACCCACATCGGGAATTATTTTTTCCTGACAAACCTTGCGTAACCTCGTGTTCCAAGACGATCTTAGGTCGGTTTCTCTAGAAACGGACCTTACACAAGTCTGGCTTCACTTTATCCACTTTGATTAAGATACAGACATAACGTCTGCGCTGTTAGAAAGTGGACGGACACAACATGCTGTAAATACTAATGGAAAATCTGAATGGCACAAGACTGGACATTGTGGCTAACAGATGCTAAAGCTGACAGATCAACAAGTTACCACGAGCTAGGTGTATTTAGGTACAGGTATGCAAATTATCGTACATAGTAACGTGAGAATTACCCAGGATAACCCAAAAATGTCAGTAACTTTACCATTGTGGTCGTGGACCACCATGGTAGGTTGTTAAGTTTATTAAGGTACAGTTACATAAATTAACACACACTGCAGCACGTGTCGTCAATGTACAGAGAGAGAGAGAGATAAAGAGAGAGAGAGATAAAGAGAGATGGAGATATAGAGAGATGGAGATATAGAGATAGAGAGAGATGGAGATATAGAGATAGAGATAAAAGAGAGAGAGAGAGAGGAGAGAGAGTGTTCCAGGGGTCAACGCCCCCCTGTGGCCCCGGTCTGTGTCCAGACCTCGTGAATTATTTCCATCGGGGTCCTTGTAATAACTTAAACAATAAAAGGGAATATATAGAACGGTACCTCGAGTTCCGTACATTTTCCGACTCAATTATTTAAGTGCTCTTGTAAGTGTATCTTTGGGGTCTGAAATATATTAATTTATATTATTATAATCAAGGGGGAAGCGCTAAACCCGTAGGATTATACAGCACCTGGGGGGGGATGGAAGGTATTCAGGGTTAATTCAGGGACCTGGAGCACAGATCCAGTTCCCTGGATCAAGAGCCCCTCAGAAGCATCAAGGAACCTTCCTTATGGGAACAAATTTGTTCGGTATCGGCACAAGAACATTATAATAAAAAAAAGCGCTAAACCACAAGGGGTATACAGCGGTGTGGCGCTCAAAGTCTTCTGGAATTAATTTGGTAACTCGAGGTATCGCCGTACCAAGATTAACGTAGTTATTAAGACGGCCAGACCGACACGGCCAGACCAACACTACCAGACCAACACTACCAGACCAACACTACCAGACCAACACTACCAGACCAACACTACCAGACCAACACAACCAGACCAACACAACCAGACCAACACTACCAGACCAACACTACCAGACCAACACTACCAGACCAACACTACCAGACCAACACTACCAGACCAACACTACCAGACCAACACTACCAGACCAACACTACCAGACCAACACACCAGACCAACACTACCAGACCAACACTACCAGACCAACACTACCAGACCAACACTACCAGACCAACACATCAACCAGAAACCAACACTACCAGACCAACACAACCAGACCAACACTACCAGACCAACACTACCAGACCAACACAACCAGACCAACACAACCAGACCAACACACCAGACCAACACTACCAGACCAACACTACCAGACCAACACACCAGACCAACACTACCAGACCAACACTACCAGACCAACACTACCAGACCAACACTACCAGACCAACACAACCAGACCAACACTACCAGACCAACACTACCAGACCAACACTACCAGACCAACACAGCCAGACCAACACAGCCAGACCAACACTGCCAGACCAACACTGCCAGACCAACACAGCCAGACCAACACAGCCAGACCAACACTGCCAGACCAACACTGCCAGACCAACACAGCCAGACCAACACTAGACCGCAGACCAACACTGCCAGCAACCAACACAGCCAGACCAACATCAGACCCAGACCAACACTGCCAGACCAACACTGCCAGACACAACAGACCAACCAGACCAACACATGCCAGACCAACACTGCCAGACCAACACGCCAGACCAACACTGCCAGACCAACACTGCCAGACCAACACTGCCAGACCAACACTGCCAGACCAACACTGCCAGACCAACACAGCCAGACCAACACTGCCAGACCAACACTGCCAGACCAACACAGCCAGACCAACACTGCCAGACCAACACTGCCAGACCAACACTGCCAGACCAACACTGCCAGACCAACACAGCCAGACCAACACTGCCAGACCAACCACCAGACCACCAACTGCCAGACCAACACTGCCAGACCAACACTGCCAGACCAACACAACCAGACCAACACTACCAGACCAACACTACCAGACCGAACACTACCAGACCAACACCAACCAACACCCAGACAACAACCAGACCAACACAACCAGACCAACACAACCAGACCAACACTACCAGACCAACACGCCAGACCAACACAACCAGACCAACACTACCAGACCAACACACCAGACCAACACACCAGACCAACACAACCAGACCAACACACCAGACCAACACACCAGACCAACACTACCAGACCAACACTGCCAGACCAACACACCAGACCAACACTACCAGACCAACACAGCCAGACCAACACAACCAGACCAACACACCAGACCACACAGCCAGACCACACACCAGACCAACACAACCAGACCAACACAGCCAGACCAACACACCAGACCACACACCAACCACACCAGACCAAACAACAACCAGACCACACACACCAGACCAACACACCAGACCAACACAACCAGACCAACACACCAGACCAACACACCAGACCAACACAACCAGACCAACACACCAGACCAACACAGCCAGACCACAACCCGCACCAGACCAACACACCAGACCAACACGACCAACCAACACAACCAGACCAACACTACCAGACCAACACAACCAGACCAAACAACAGCCAGACAACACCCAACACACACCAGACCAACACACCAGACCAACACAACCAGACCAACACAGCCAGACCAACACAGCCAGACCAACACACCAGACCAACACAACCAGACCAACACACCAGACCAACACAGCCAGACCAACACACAGACCAACACAGCCAGACCAACACAACCAGACCAACACAACCAGACCAACACAACCAGACCAACACAAGCCAGACCAACACTACCAGACCAACACAGCCAGACACACACCAGACCGACACAGCCAGACACACACAGCCAGACCGACACACAGACCACACACAGACCAACACAGCCAGACCAACACACCAGACCAACACACCAGACCAACACACCAGACCAACACACCAGACCAACACAGCCAGACCAACACACCAGACCAACACAACCAGACCAACACACCAGACCAAACACACCAGACCAACACAGCCAGACCAACACAACCAGACCAACACACCAGACCAACACACAACCAGACCAACACAACCAGACCAACACACCAGACCAACACAACCAGACCAACACTACCAGAAAAACCAACACTCCCGACCAACACTAAGACCAACACACCAGACCAACACTACCAGACCAACACTACCAGACCAACACTACCAACCCAACATACCAGACCAACACTACCAGACCAACACAACCAGACCAACACACCAGACCAACACTACCAGACCAACACTACCAGACCAACACTACCAGACCAACACTACCAGACCAACACTACCAGACCAACACTACCAGACCAACACTACACCAGACCAACACAACCAGACCAACACAACCAGACCAACACACCAGACCAACACAACCAGACCAACACTACCAGACCAACACTACCAGACCAACACAGACCACACCCAGACCAACACTACCAGACCAACACTACCAGACCAACACACCAGACCAACACACCAGACCAACACTACCAGACCAACACACCAGACCAACACAACCAGACCAACCACAAACCAGACCAACACTACCAGACCAACACTACCAGACCAACACAACCAGACCAACACTACCAGACCAACACTACCAGACCAACACACCAGACCAACACTACCAGACCAACACACCAGACCAACACAACCAGACCAACACACCAGACCAACACTCCAGACCAACACAACCAGACCAACACACCAGACCACACCAGACCAACAACCAGACCAACACAGCCAGACCAACACTACCAGACCAACACTAGCCAGACCAACCACAGCCACGACCAAACACAGACCAACACACCCAAACCAACACAGCCAGACCAACACAGCCAGACCAACACTGCCAGACCAACACAGCCAGACCAACACCAGACCCAACACCCGACCAACACAGCCAGACCAACACTAGCCAGACCAACACAGCCAGACCAACACAGCCAGACCAACACTGCCAGACCAACACAGCCAGACCAACACAGCCAGACCAACACAGCCAGACCAACACAGCCAGACCAACACAGCCAGACCAACACACCAGACCAACACACCAGACCAACACACCAGACCAACACAGCCAGACCAACACATAGCCAGACCAAACACAGAACAGCCAACAAGAACCAAACACATCAGCAACACAGACCAACACAACCAGACCAACACAGACCAGACCAACACTAACCAGACCAACACACCGACCAACACAACCAGACCAACACTACCAGACCAACACAACCAGACCAACACTACCAGACCAACACAGCCAGACCAACACAGCCAGACCAACACAACCAAGACCAACACAGCCAGACCAACACAACCAGACCAACACACCAGACCAACACAACCAGACCAACACAACCAGACCAACACACACCAGACCAACACAACCAGACCAACACAACCAGACCAACACAACCAGACCAACACAACCAGACCAACAACAACCAGACCAACACAACCAGACCAACACAACCAGACCAACACACCAGACCAACACAACCAGACCAACACAACCAGACCAACACAACCAGACCAACACACCAGACCAACACAACCAGACCAACACAACCAGACCAACCACCAGACAACACAGCCAGACCAACACACCAGACCAACACAGCCAGACCAACACACCAGACCAACACAACCAGACCAACACAAGCCAGACCAAACACACCAGACCAACACACCAGACCAACACAACCAGACCAACACAACCAGACCAAACACCAGACCACAACCAGACCAACACAACCAGACCAACACAGCCAGACCAACAACAGACCAACACAACCAGACCAACACAACCAGACCAACACAACCAGACCAACACAACCAGACCAACACAACCAGACCCCACCAGACCCAACACACCAGACCAACACACCAGACCAACACAACAGCAGACCAACACAAGCCAGACCAACACACCAGACCAACACAAGCCAGACCAACACAGCCAGACCAACCACAAGCCAGACCAACACAGCCAGACCAACACTGCCAGACCAACACAACCAGACCCCAACAAAATGCCAGACCAACACACACCAGACCAACACACCAGACCAACACACACCAGACCAACACAGCCAGACCAACACAGCCAGACCAACACGTACAGAAACAACACAGCCAGAACCAACACACAGCCAGACCAACACAGCAGACCAACACAGCCAGACCAACACAGCAGACACAACCACCAGAACCAACACACAGACCACAACGCCAGACCAACACTACCAGACCAACACAGCCAGACCAACACCAGACAACCAGACCAGGACCAACACACCAGACCAACACAGCCAGACCGCAAACACTGCCAGACCAACAACCAGACCAACACTACCAGACCAACAAACCAGACCAACAGCACCAAAACACTACCAGACCAACACTACCAGACCAACACTGCCAGACCAAACAAGCCGACCAACACTACCAGACAAAACAGACAGACACTAACCCGAGAAACACACCAGAGAGATCAAGATCAGATAATATCAGGACCAGACACAATCCAGACCAACAAGCCAGACAAAGACAACTCCAGGAAAACAGCCAGAAGGACACACAGAAAGTTCAAGGCAACCAAACACCTAAACCACAGGCAACACTTGCCAGACCTCAATTATTCACCGAGGAACCCGTACCAAGACTTAAACAGAACAAACGCCAGACCAACACGCCAGACCAACCTACTGCCATACCACACCGACCAAACAAACGGCCGACCAGACACTTTGCCAGACCAACACAGCCAGACCACACTGAGACCAACACAGGCCAGACCGAACGCAACCACACGGACCAACACAGCCAGAGCCAACACTAGCCAGACCAACACTAGCCAGACCAACAGACCAGACCAACGACAGCCAGACCAACACTACCAGACCAACACACCAGACCAACACTCCAGACCAACACACCAGCCAACACGCCAGACCACACATGCCAACCAACACTAGCAGACCAACACAACAGACCAACACAACAACAACGCAGTACCAACACAGCACATGCCAGACCAACAGCCAGACAACCTGCAGACCAACACACCAGACCAACACAGCCAGACCAAACACGCCAGACCAACACAGCCAGACCAACACTGCCAGACCAACACGCCAGACCAACACGCCAGACCAACACAGCCAGACCAACACAGGACAACACACGACCAACACAGCCAGACAACACTGCCAGACCAACACAGCCAGACCAACACGGACAACAGACCAGACCACTCCAGACCAACACGCCAGACCAACACAGCCAGACCAACACAGCCAGACCTAAACACAACCAGACAACACTAGCCAGACCAACACTACCAGACCAAACACTCAACCAGACCAACACTACCAGACCAACACAACCAGACCAACACTGCCAGACCAACACTGCCAGACCAAACACTCCAGACCAACACACCAGACCAACACAACCAGACCAACACTCCAGACAAACTGCCAGACCAACAAGAGCCACTCCAGACCAACACTGCAGCAAACCCAACCAACACACAGACCAACACAACCAGACCAAACACACCAGACCAACACTGCCAGACCAACACAACCAGACCAACACTGCCAGACCAACATAGCCAGACCAACACAGCCAGACCAACACAGCCAGACCAACACTACCAGACCCAACACAACCAGACCAACACAGCCAGACCACACACTACCAGACCAAACACACCAGACCAACACAGCCAGCAACCCAACACAGCCAGACCAACACTACCAGACCAACACAGCCAGACCAACACAGCCAGGACAAACACAGCAGACCAACACTACCGACCAAGAAACAGACCAACACAGCCGACCAACATACCAGACCAACACAAACAGACCAACTCAGCCATCATCAAACACTACAGACCAAACAAAATCATGTAACCAACACACTGCCAGACTAACACTAGCCAGACCACTGCCAACCAACACTCCAGACCAAACTACCAGACCACAACCAGACCAACACAGCCAGACCAACACAGCCAGACCTAAATACCAGACCACCAACCAGACCAACACTACCAGACCAACAAAACAGCCAACAACAGCTGACCACACACCAAACAACCAACAAACAGACAACCACAAGCCAGACCAACACAGCCAGACAACACAGCCAGACCAAACAGCCAGACCAACACTACCAGACCAACACAGCCAGCCAACCAGCCAGACCAACACTAGCCAGACCAACACACAGACCAAACAGCCAGACCAACACAGCCAGACCAACACACCAACCAACACAGCCAGACCAACACACCAGACCACAACAGCCAGACCAACACACCAAGACCAACACAAGCCAGACCAATACAACTTTTCCGACCTGAAAATATACGCGGGGACCCTAAACCCTAGAGCACACGCCTGGACCAATTTGAATTAGGGGATAAAACGCAATGCAAACAGCCAGACCACTACCGACAAAAAAGCAGGGCGATCTTGTACCTTGATAAACTTGATTTATGTTCGTGGGGAGCTGTAAACCCGTAGGGGCACACCTGGAGAGGGTTAAATCTGGTTGAAACTAAGGGATAAATACGTCAATTCCTGGGATCAAGAGCCCACCAACAAGGAACCTCCCTTCAGTAGTTTGATCCAAGGTGTGGGTAACCCCAAACTCCCTGGATCAAGAGCCCATCAACACGTGAAAATACACGAGACATTCAACAGCTGTTTATTCTTGAAGAATTTAAAGCTTTTATCCAACAAAAACTGACGTCACTGGTAACATTTTTACCCAAAATCAACTAAAAAACTTATTACATTAAATAGAATTCACCCAAAAACTGGCCAAAACATCACTCACCAACGGGCTGGTCGCCGCCCCATCTTGGCAGACCTAAAACACAAAAATCCTCCATTAATCCCACACAAAACCACCACAACAATAAAATATAACAATGTGAGAATATGTCAAGGTAAATATATAAGCAGGATGAAGGACGATAACGCGGATGTATAGTGATAAAGATGATATAGTAGGAGGTTCCGCCATTACCAGACTTACCCCAGCGAGAAGAACAAGATAATGTTGGAACCTCAGTTATCTGGCCTTAACTCACCTTCTATCATAACACAACTAACTCTTATAAAACTATTTTAATGTTATTTAACAACACATTACATCACTTTTATTTATTATTATTATTAGTAGTAGGTCTGTTTTCTTTTTTTCCTTCTCCTTCTTCTAATTCTTATTATCATTATCATTATTATCATAATTTTTATTATTATTATTATTATTATTATTATTATTATTATTATTATCATTATTACTATTATTATTAATATTATTACAATTATTATTATTATATGGAGCGCTAAAACCGTCAGGGTGATACAACTTAAACGATAATTGCAAAAATAAGCGACATCTAAAAAGTCATTTTAAACTTTTAATTTACAATATTAACAAACATATAACACACGATAGTCATTTTAAACATATAAGAGAAGCGGTGACTCGACACCAGCGACCACAAACAGGACACCACATAATTTTATTCACATACAAACGTACATTTCTAAAAATAAATCGAAGAAAACAAATTCTCTTAAAAAAAAAACTTTTACCTTTATTATTCACTAAACTTATTAATTCACAAAATATTATATATTTATTTTTTTTGAAAAAGTTTGAAAATATTATATTATTTGTAAGTTTATTCATTATTTGAGGTAAATAAAATATTTCCCATTTTTTTAAATAAGTTTTGGGGAAACTAAAATAAAAAAAAATGTTCAATTTACCCTCCCAGAACTGTTTATATTTTAATACTGATGTTGTGTGTAATGAAGGTACATTAGAGTACAGACACTGTACTACCCACCTCCAGTACTGTAACATCCTCACTCATCCTTCAGAGTACAGACACTGTACTACCCACCTCCAGTACTGTAACATTCTCACTCATCCTTCAGAGTACAGGTACTGTACTACCCACCTCCAGTACTGTAACATTCTCACTCATCCTTCAGAGTACAGGTACTGTACTTCCCACCTCCAGTACTGTAACATTCTCACTCATCCTTCAGAGTACAGACACTGTACTACCCACCTCCAGTACTGTAACATCCTCACTCATCCTTCAGAGTACAGACACTGTACTACCCACCTCCAGTACTGTAACATTCTCACTCATCCTTCAGAGTACAGGTACTGTACTTCCCACCTCCAGTACTGTATTCATTCTCACTCATCCCTTCAGGTACAGGTACTGTACTACCCACCTCCAGTACTGTTAAAATTCCTCACTCATCCTTCAGAGTACAGACACTGTACTACACCTCCAGTACTGTAACATTCTCACTCATCCTTCAGAGTACGGACACTGTACTACCCACCTCCAGTACTGTAACATTCTCACTCATCCTTCAGAGTACAGACACTGTACTTCCCACCTCCAGTACTGTAACATCCTCACTCATCCTTTAGAGTACAGACACTGTACTTCCCACCTCCAGTTACTGTAACATCCTCACTCATCCTTCAGAGTAAGGCACTGTACTACCCACCTCCAGTACTGTAACATCCTCACTCATCCTCAGAGTACAGGACTGTACTACCCACCTCAGTACTGTAACATTCTCACTCATCCTTCAGAGTACAGGTACTGTACTTCCCACCTCCAGAACTGTAACATCCTCACTCATCCTTCAGAGTACAGACACTGTACTTCCCACCTCAGTACTGAAAACATTCTCCTCATCCTTCAGAGTACAGGTACTGTACTACCCACCTCCAGTACTGTAACATTCTCACTCATCCTTCAGAGTACAGGTACTGTACTTCCCACCTCCAGTACTGTAACATTCTCACTCATCCTTCAGAGTACAGGCACTGTACTACCCACCTCCAGTACTGTAACATTCTCACTCATCCTTCAGAGTACAGGTACTGTACTTCCCACCTCCAGTACTGTAACATTCTCACTCATCCTTCAGAGTACAGGTACTGTACTTCCCACCTCCAGTACTGTAACATTCTCACTCATCCTTCAGAGTACAGACACTGTACTTCCCACCTCCAGTATTTTAACATTCTCACTCATCCTTCAGAGTACAGACACTGTACTACCCACCTCCAGTACTGTAACATCCTCACTCATCCTTCAGAGTACAGACACTGTACTTCCCACCTCCAGTACTGTAACATTCTCACTCATCCTTCAGAGTACAGACACTGTACTTCCCACCTCCAGTACTGTAACATTCTCACTCATCCTTCAGAGTACAGACACTGTACTTCCCACCTCCAGTACTGTAACATTCTCACTCATCTTCAGAGTACAGCACTGTACTACCCACCTCCAGTACTGTAACATCCTCACTCATCCTTCAGAGTACAGACACTGTACTTCCCACCTCCAGTACTGTAACATCCTCACTCATCCTTCACATTACTCTCAGTGTTCAGATTCCTCCTGACCAGAGATGGTCATCCAGCACCTGACCTCTTCTATCTGACCTTTCGCCCATGACCCTCTGGGGTCCCCTTATGCATTGACCTTATAGATAAAGGGTCGAGTTAAGGGCGGTTGCACCAACCCTAAGGGGCTTAAATACGCAAAATATTGCCCATTACAAAGAATTTCACCTCTTGACCCGATGATTTTTTGTGAGAATTTCCATGTGTAACGTAACACATATGTGCAACGTAACACATATGTGTAACGTAACACATATGTGCAACGTAACACTTATGTGCAACGTAACACATGTGCAACGTAACACATATGTGTAACGTAACACATATGTGTTACGTAACACATATGTGCAACGTAACACATATGTGCAACGTAACACATATGTGTAACGTAACACATATGTGTTACGTAACACATATGTGCAACGTAACACGTATGTGCAACGTAACACATATGTGCAACGTAACACATGTGCAACGTAACACATATGTGTAACGTAACACATATGTGTTACGTAACACATATGTGTAACGTAACACATATGTGCAACGTAACACATATGTGCAACGTAACACACATGTGTAACGTAACACATGTGTTACGTAACACATATGTGCAACGTAACACATATGTGCAACGTAACACATATGTGTAACGTAACACATATGTGTAACGTAACACATATGTGCAACGTAACACATATGTGTAACGTAACACATATGTGCAACGTAACACATATGTGCAATGTAACACATATGTGCAACGTAACACATATGTGTAACGTAACACATATGTGCAACGTAACACATATGTGCAACGTAACACATATGTGCAACGTAACACATATGTGCAACGTAACACATATGTGCAACGTAACACATATGTGCAACGTAACACATATGTGCAACGTAACACATATGTGTAACGTAACACATATGTGCAACTTAACACATATTTGCAACGTAACACATATGTGCAACGTAACACATATGTGCAACGTAACACACATGTGCAACGTAACACATATGTGCAACGTAACACATGTGCAACGTAACACATATGTGCAACGTAACACATATTTGCAACGTAACACATATGTGCAACGTAACACATATGTGCAACGTAACACATATGTGCAACGTAACACATATGTGCAACGTAACACACATGTGCAACGTAACACATATGTGCAACGTAACACATGTGCAACGTAACACATATGTGCAACGTAACACATGTGCAACGTAACACATGTGCAACGTAACACATATGTGTCTTCGTTTTGCCAAACTTGTCGCCTACACAGTAGACTTCTTCAGTCCAGTCCAAAGGTGGAAGATGTTGATAAGGAGTTTGGACATATCAGTCCCTCAGTCTGGAGTGCATGTGTTGAGTCCCTCAGTCTGGAGTGCATGTGTTGAGTCCCTCAGTCTGGAGTACATGTGTTGAGTCCCTCAGTCTGGAGTGCATGTGTTGAGTCCCTCAGTCTGGAGTGCATGTGTTGAGTCCCTCAGTCTGGAGTGCATGTGTTGAGTCCCTCAGTCTGGAGTGCATGTGTTGAGTCCCTCAGTCTGGAGTGCATGTGTTGAGTCCCTCAGTCTGGAGTGCATGTGTTGAGTCCCTCAGTCTGGAGTGCATGTGTTGAGTCCCTCAGTCTGGAGTGCATGTGTTGAGTCCCTCAGTCTGGAGTGCATGTGTTGAGTCCCTCAGTCTGGAGTGCTTGTGTTGAGTCCCTCAGTCTGGAGTGCATGTGTTGAGTCCCTCAGTCTGGAGTGCATGTGTTGAGTCCCTCAGTCTGGAGTGCATGTGTTGAGTCCCTCAGTCTGGAGTGCATGTGTTGAGTCCCTCAGTCTGGAGTACATGTGTTGAGTCCATCAGTCTGGAGTGCATGTGTTGAGTCCCTCAGTCTGGAGTGCATGTGTTGAGTCCATCAGTCTGGAGTACATGTGTTGAGTCCCTCAGTCTGGAGTACATGTGTTGAGTCCATCAGTCTGGAGTACATGTGTTGAGTCCCTCAGTCTGGAGTGCATGTGTTGAGTCCATCAGTCTGGAGTGCATGTGTTGAGTCCCTCAGTCTGGAGTACATGTGTTGAGTCCCTCAGTCTGGAGTACATGTGTTGAGTCCCTCAGTCTGGAGTACATGTGTTGAGTCCCTCAGTCTGGAGTACATGTGTTGAGTCCATCAGTCTGGAGTACATGTGTTGAGTCCATCAGTCTGGAGTACATGTGTTGAGTCCCTCAGTCTGGAGTGCATGTGTTGAGTCCCTCAGTCTGGAGTGCTTGTGTTGAGTCCCTCAGTCTGGAGTGCATGTGTTGAGTCCATCAGTCTGGAGTGCTTGTGTTGAGTCCCTCAGTCTGGAGTACATGTGTTGAGTCCCTCAGTCTGGAGTACATGTGTTGAGTCCCTCAGTCTGGAGTACATGTGTTGAGTCCCTCAGTCTGGAGTACATGTGTTGAGTCCCTCAGTCTGGAGTGCTTGTGTTGAGTCCCTCAGTCTGGAGTACATGTGTTGAGTCCCTCAGTCTGGAGTGCTTGTGTTG